CCTGCTAATCATAGGAGGTGAGCGCTTCAGTGGGCTATGACTTTAAATTTATATTAGAGTGAGAATAGTTATTATTATTATTTTTTATAAAGAAAAAAGGTGATGTGTGAATTCTGTTGTGGGATGTAAAACATAAAAAGAGCTGTCAACAATGTTCCTCGTACGTGCTTCACCAAAGTCAATCAAATATCCTATTAGCCAGCTGAAATTAACCTGATGATTGATGGCTATTGAGGCCATCTCGGTTCCTCAAAGACTAATCCGCCCTCAAACAGTTTCGTTAGTTTAAACCAGACCTCAGTCATCAGGATAATCAGGCCTCATTTCTGTCATATGAATTGAACAAATTGTACATCTTCTACGTTGTTCATTCCGTACACACCTACTCCTGCTGTTTTCCCTCAGGTTTCTCCCTTTTACATTTTTTTTTTTCATTTGGGGAATTCTTTCCTGTACCGATGTGAGGGTTTGGGGACGGAGGATGTTCAATGTTCATAAACTGTAAAGCTCTCTGATGTGAAATGAACTTCCAAATCTATCCAAAGATAGAAAAATGGGCAACAAACACAGAATTCTAAACTAACTTGCATGTTGTTTTCTACACTTTTAATTCCATAGCCTATTTTCCCTGAAAAATATTTTTGTGTATAGGGATTTTATCTAAGAAAAGCATTATGTTATATTTCTGATATGTAATATATTATATTATATGACTACTGTGATTAAGTATCTAAAAGTTTCCAGCAAGCAATTATCCGTTGAAAAGATGCCTATGACCAACGTTGAAATTTCAACGTCTATTTGTAGAGGATGAAACATTTCCATATTAAAAATTACATTAAAATTGGGCCCAATGTTTTTCAAGGTCTACAAATAAACGTTGAAAAAACTTTTGAACCAGAAAAATGATCGCTGGGAACCTTAAAAAACACAACAGCGTCTCTTTTTAAAGGTTCATTTGTCTCTCTTAAATGTTATACCTCTTGTCGTTATTGTCAGTTTTCCGAATGTTTGGAGCCGTACTTTGTTTCATCAACCATCTCAAGCAGCAGCGTTTCCCCTTCATTCTATCGACCGGCCATATAAACAGAAACATGTGTTTAGAGGACTTAACACCGAGCAGCCATGTAGCTGCGTCTGTTCCCGAGGCCGGTCATCACCTGAGACATCGTCAGACTGCTGGTGTCTTCCATCGTGTCCTTTCTCTGAGCTGTCTGCACGTCAAGAGTTTTAAACTGGTTCTCGAACTTGTCCATTGACACAGAGATCTGCAGAGGAAGAGGAAATCTTATACCTACATATTCTGTTACACCTTTCTTTGGTTTGTCTGCGCTGGCACACGTGAGCCCACTCTTTCAACGTCTTCAGGTTCATACTTTTCAGTGTTGCGTCCATAGACTTCACAACTTTAGATACCTGAAAACAGTCATCACGTTAAGGCTCACTCTCTAGTGGCCCTAATAGGTTTGGATCTTTGATCTTTAAAGGATCACGAAGGATCACGTGAAGTCAGTCAGGGTGAATCTTGACGTGCTGTATCCTCATATTTCCACTAGGTGTCACTTTCACCTTTTTAACCAGACACCTTGGCGCCTCTCCTCCTAATAACATCTTCAATATCTCAAAGAGACTCTGATTAAGAGCAAATCTGCTCAAAACGCAATGTGGTAATAGTTGATTTAATTATGCTAGAGGGGTTGATTATCAGTGCTATTGTGTTCATGTCTTTTGAGACTGCTGAGGTGTTTTTCAGCTATACGCTATCTCACGCATCTTTACGGACGCTTTTAAGTTCTATTCTATGAAATTATGTCTGTTGTACAGTGAACATGAATGAGAGCCTATTATAGAGGCTCTCCATGACAGCCTGAAGCTAATAGCCTAATGTCTGAGGCACATTAAAGGACATTATACAATCGCTGGCTTTATGTTTGCATGTCTGCTCGTCTTTTCTTTTTACCCCCCCCCACTCCCTCCCGCCTCCTTTGCAAGCGAGTGGTTTGAAGGTTCAATTTGGACTTTTATAACCTAGCGTGGGTTTACTCTGTGGTTCTTCTCCTGAAATAAGAAGTATTTTTTCAAAATACACACTTATAAAAGAAAAAGCGTGACCAGTGAAATAACACCCATATCTATTGCAGTCGTGTCTTCATCTTTGGTTTGAGACAAGAGACAGTGTGAATGAAGTGGGTGGCCACTGGGGTCTTGTTGTTTGGATGCCCTTTGTGTCTGTGATCATTTCATTCATCCTTTTCTAGGATTTCTATCAAATAAAAGCAGAAACTCCCACAAGAAATTAACATTACAAAAATTGAAAAAATGAATTGTTGACCGGTGATAATATGTGTAAATACAATAAGCTTAATGTAGGAAACATGATGGAAATCTAATTTATTATATTGGGATTAAAAATGGGTGTATGGCTTCAGTAAATAAGATGGGCTTGTTTTCCGCTCATTGTCATTTACCTGCTGCGCCACGTAACACCAGAGAGCAAGGAACGTTTCTACAAAACATTGACCTGCAATCCTGACCTGGTTAATGGTGACAGCGGTCTCGATCTTGGCAGCCACGGCATCTACACGGGCACTCATCCTCAAGACGTAAATGATCTTTCTTCTGGATGGACTCAGAAACAAAAAGAAATACGACCGCATACACATGCTGTCCATCTGTATCTGACACTTTGGCCCAACATGACCCAGAAAAGTGTCCATTAAATGCAGGATTTAATAAACCAACCAGCTTGACTTTGGCCTTTGCTTAACTTTAACTTTCCCTTTTGTCTCCTAACCATATTTCTTGGAGTTGAATTGCTGCACCAAACCTGAGGCTGAACATGTGTTCTGTATAGTAAAGGCAGAGTAATACACTTCTTATGAGAATTATAGGGATATATATATATATATATATATATATATATATATATATATATATATATATATACGTGAACTGAATCCCTTGCTGGCATTGAGCTAATTCAACCCAAATCAGAAAATGTTGAAAGTTGAAAATGAAACCAAACTGTCATGAAATTAGTTTGCCCAGCTATAAAGCACTTTATGCTTAATATTTTTTTAAACTTTTTTAATACTTTAAATTTTTAACTTTAACTTTATTCCCTTGTTTTATACTAACCCATAGCCTTATTATACTCACCCATTGCATTATCATTTCATTTTACTTTATTTTATTACTTGTGCACTGCTGTCTTGTTGTCTATTGTCATACTGTCTAGACTCTACTGTCATGCACCATCGGCCAAGACAAATTCCTTGTATGTTTGACATATCTTGGTAATAAATGTTTCCTGATTCCTGTTTCCTGATTCCTGAAATATTTCCCCTCATCGTTGAATGAATGGGCAGATGTTGCAAACTGGGGAATAACCGGATTATCAATCAAAGCCGTTTTACATTTGGGTTGCTAACGTTACTGCAAGGCAACTGTATATCTACTGGTATGCTCGTTAGACAACACAGGAAGGCATATTCTCTATTTTCGGCATGATGAAGGTCTCTTTTGGAGACAAACACTGGTTATGCACAGATTATTAACTAGAATGGTTTGTTTTGATTTTTTCAAACTATCGTATCTTCGCTGCTGTTGCGAGGCGAGATGCTTCGCGCGTGTTTACTTCCGCATTTGCTTAAGAATGAGATAGACAGAGCGCCATTCAATTAATATACTTTGTGTTGAAGATACGACGACTGTCTCGTAATTGGTGGAGAAACTTTGTTATATTAAGAAACACATTTGTGTACCGCTCATTAAACGTTTAAAAACAGGAAATATGGACTTCTAATGTGACGCATGCGCAGCCACTATAATGGAATATTTCTTCACATATCTACCTGTTTTATATTAACTATACCTGGAGTTATAATTTCTAGATAAATAGAAAACACATCCCTGTGCGATGTAAACCCGTTCAAGGATCAAATTGCTGCAGCGATTGCTGCACCTTCTTATGTACCCATAGACATATGGCTGGACCACAACGCGTGAACTCTCTTGACGTACCTTCATCTTTGATTTCAATCGCCACTGTCTCCATTCACCACCGTCACATGGTCACGATTTTGCATGGCTTTCTCGCGTCTCCTACGTCACGACCGCGTCCAGAGCAGACAGTTCCATCCTCGCTAAAAATAGTCTGTCCCCGTATAGGCTGTGGTACATGCCCAGTGACGCAATTTGTGCTTCTTTTTTTCTGGTGGGGCAGTAAACTGACCTTTTCCACCGAGCCACTTCCCGGGTGCCTTAACGCTTTTTGTCACGTTTAGTTTCACTTTAGTTGTGATGCATGGAGGAAAGGGGGGGGGGGGGGGGGGGGGGGGGGGGGGGGGTACTAACGGGGAACACATGAGGTGGGGAAGAGATGAAACATCCGGCAGGGAATGCAGCAGGGGGTTGGGGGGGGCTGGAGGGGCTGGGGGTGGGTTTACGGCTGGGTCAGGGAGGGGGGGGGGGGGGCAGCATGGATGACTCATACTATGCTGATACTGTGCATGGACACATGGTGCCGTACCAGATATCATGATGTGTGACGTGAGCGAAGAGTTAAGAGGTAAATAAGTGAATGGGGAAAGATTCACAAACAATGCTGCCCCCTCCAAAAGTAGCCCTAACAAATGGAGGCCCTCAAATGTTGTAATATTGTAACACTAGAACACTCCATTTTGGTTGGTTTACATATTTGAAGTGCGTACGGTCAAAAGTCCTCCCCCACTCCTACTTTAACCCCCATCTGAATAATAACACACCTGTTATTGCGACTTCCCCACAGCGTAATTGTTGCACTTCTTCTTCTTCACACACACACACACACGCACACACACACACACACGCACACACACACACACACACACACACACACACACACACACGCACACACACACACACACACACACAAATCATGACTGGATGACGGCGGGTTGCTATGGAAACTCCGTTACGCTGAGGGCGGCGGGAAGAGAAAACAAGAGTGCGAGGACTCCCGTCTTCATTTCAGCTCCTGGACAGCTCCCGGATGAGATCGCGCACAGATTCCTGCATCGCACAATTCCGAAGGGACAGACAGACACTCCGCTCCTGAAGCTCGGTGGACACCAAAGGTTTGATTCCGCCCGTCCCGCCAGGAGCTCCTCACTCCCCCGGAAAGCCACAGCAACAGGTGAAGTTAGATCAGAGTTCACACGCCGGGGGTTTATTGTGTTATTTGAATCCTTGTGCGTAGAAGTGTATCTGCCCATCAGTCTCCCGGGCACTTAATTGCGGTTAATTAACCTCCCGCGGTAGCTATGGAGCGCTCAGGTGCGTGATTAGGTGATTAAAGTGAAGACCATCGGGGGAGAGGTACATGCTGGCTCTGGATCTGCTCCAGCTCGTTTTTATGCTCTATACTCTGAAACAGGAGGCACAAAACTAGCCTCCAGTTTGTGGCCATTTTATGGGGGACAGAACTTCCATAGCACTGCATTTACAGAACTTAGACTCATACATATTGTTAACAACATTTCTGGTCAGCAGACATGAGTGAGACGTGAGTGCATTTTGTAGGTTAGTGAAGTGAATGGAAGAGAAAAGGAAAAAACAATACGAGATGTACAGCACATTGTATGATAATGTTTAAAAAGTGAGTCTCACGGGGCTCTTTTGTTTTCCTGTACTTAAATGTGTCACATACCGGAGAAACCTTGTCAGAGCAGACGTGTTTGTTTTTGTTTTAAGATTCAGCATATGAGAGCCTCCGTAGCCATATGTATTGGTTTTTCAGTGGCCATAGATTATGTGCAAGCTGAGCCGATACGCCTGGATGAGTCACTCAGGCTGCAAGTTTGCAGAACAGTGCCAAAGGGGAGGGGGAGAATGGGAGTGGGGGGGCATACAAGGACTAGCTGGAAAACAGTCCCGCAGTGTCTCTGCCTCCTCAATACATTGTGTCATATGACCATGTGTCGACACCTTGGACAGTGCTCATTGGCTCTGCACGTATGATGCACTGCTTTTTTGTTACTTGAAGTTCACCTTGTTAAAGTGCGTAAACAGACGGATGATTTTGAGGAGCTGTTTCTGACTCAACTTCTTTGTCTCCTGGTAAGCACACTCTGTTTTTTCCCCCAGAGCAGAGGGGTTTCCTTTTGTAGCATCAGAGATTAGAATAAAGTGCTGTTCTTCAGTAGTGCATGGATTGGAAGATTAGAAAAAAAACAATCACTTGCAGTAGGTTTTTTAATGGTACTCTCGGATGTCTGCCAAACTACTACCAGAAAGCATCCCATTACGGGGCATTAGTATCCAAATGTTTATCCTGCTGGTATTGACAAATCATTGCAATCAGCGGCATTGAGCTCCAGCAATGACTGACATCTATTGATTAAAGCAAACAAAGGATCATAATGGGCTGCTGTGAACCACGGAGCAGAAGCACTCACTCCCTCAAACACTCTCACATACGCCCCATAAACTCACGCTCCCGTAGGACACTGACTCCTCTCACTGACTTGGTTAGGCAAATGTTATTTGGCTTATTGGAAAATATGTCCAGTTTGCAGGAGATCTGGCTGGCAAAGGCTGCGTCCGTAACTTTCCTGGAGGATTACACCAGCCAAACAAACATAATTAGCTGGTATTAAACCCCACTTTGTTTCGATTTCTGTTACGGTTTACGAAGTTGATATAGAAACGCCTGCTTTCACTCACACAAATGTGTGCAGGGGTCTTTGTTTGCAATACATACAAATGATGTGCTGCACACACGCACAAAGACAGATGTGTCTTAAATTAGTGACGTTGGTGTGATTAATGCAGTCTGCTGCGATGACTCATTCTGCTTAACCCTCTCCTCCGGTGGAAACAATCAATAAACAAAGATTTACACTGCTGTTACAATAATTTTTATTATTGTTATAGCTTTATAGTAATCCAATATTGTTATTATAATCTTGCATGATAAGTACATTTGTATGTTTATTCATGTGCACGTTTTATAAAAGAATGGAATCCGAGCGGAATCCAAAAGAGCGCAAAAAGAGGGACAGTGTGCGACGATTCAACTCCTAGGTGGTAAATCATATAATGTGTTCATACGTACATTTGTTGTGATCTGCTTAAGCAGTGGAAGGCTATTTATGCAAATCACATCTGCGTGTATCGCTCCATGTGTCAGCCTGTCAACACAGCAGTTACATTAGCGTTGAGGAAAAGCTGTCAGACAAGCTGTGACTTGCAGACAGCAGACTGGCAGGGAGCTTGCACATACGTGTGAGAGAGGGCTATGTGTGTATGCGTGTGTGTGTGTGTTTGTGTGTAAGAAAGAGAGAGAGCGACAGTCTGTAGGGGAGTTGTAATAAACTCTCATTGTCGTCTTCCATCCCTTCTTTCCTCCCTCTCTCTCTCCAGTGCAGCAGCATGTCTGAAACTAAATCTAATCAGCGTTTCCACAGTCTGAACGTTGAGCAGGTCGAAGTCCTCCACCAGGTCTTATCCGAGGCGGTCCCAATCCACGGCCGCGGGAACTTCCCCACGTTGGAGCTGCGTCCGCGAGACATCATCATAGCCGTGCGGGCCAGGCTGCAGCAGCAGGGAATCGCAGTGAGAGATATCCGGCTCAACGGCTCCACGGCCAGCCACGTCCTCGTCCGAGACAACGGCACGAGCTACAAGGACCTGGACATCATCTTTGGAGTGGAGTTGCCGAGTCAAGAGGAGTTCCAGGTAAGACTGCTTTACCGATCAACCACCTCCAGGGTATTGCAGTAGTATTCTTTGTGTTGCTTTATTGATAATAGTGTTATTGTAATCCTGCTGAAATAAAAAAAAATTGTAGAATATTATACTAATGGAATGAATCAATAGTACATCCTTCAATATTTCTTAGCTGTGTTACCAAGAAACTGTTCAATCGTACGAGGAGAAATTGCATTCAGGTTGGTGTCGATAGTTGTCATGTTATTGATCTTTCCTTCTCACAGGTGATCAAGGAGTCAGTGCTGGGCTGCTTGCTGGACTGCCTACCTGCTGGGGTCAACAGGGAGAGGATCAGCAGTGCCACAATGAAGGAGGCCTACGTCCAGAAAATGGTCAAGGTTTTTAATGAGCACGACCGCTGGAGCCTCATTTCCCTCTCAAATAACAGTGGCAAAAACCTGGAGCTCAAATTTGTGAGTACGCTCAGGCGGCAATTTGAGTTCAGCGTTGACTCTTTCCAGATCATTCTTGACCGTCTCCTGGAGTGCTACATGCTTCAGGAGTCCCAGCAAAACCATAAAACTGTTGATCTTAAGGGCCAGCCTGCTGAGAATCAGAATAAAAACTCTCCCTCTCTGCTCAAGCAGGCCACTGCTCCAGAAACAGAGAAGTCTTCTGGTAGAGTCTTTATCAACAAAGACCAGGCACATATCAGCCAGACACAACAGAGAGACAAGGTGCATGAAAAGGAGTCCCAGACAGAACTCTCACAAGAAACTTCAAACCAGACAAAACTTTCGGAAGTTGAAAAAGACAATCAAGTGAAAACCCCTGTTGAAGCATCAGAACACAATGAAACCTTTAGTCAGACGGAGATCTCTGACAAGACATCTCCGAACCTTCCGTCACAAGAGAGACAACCCTTTGAGATGGCGGAACCACAGAGTCAGATTGAGCTCAGACACGACCCAGAGCTCTCCGACGAGACCCAATGCTCGACAAAGGTAGAACAGTCAGAGCAAACCCAGTCATGCGATGACCAGCCGGCAGCGCATTCAGATAACAAACCGCTCTCCGTCAAGAAAGAACAACCCGACCACACAAAACTCCCCGATGAACAGAAAGCACTCACAGAGGAAACGGGGCAGTCTGAACCGCCAGAAACATCAGACAAAACTCTGACAGAAGAATGTCACAGTGCAGACTCCAAGTGCTTCAGTGAGGATCAGAGGAGCGACGAGGAAGATGAAACAGACCATGTGACTACTGAAGACTCCAGCACATCTTCAAATGCAGAAAAAGACACACTGTTGGCAGATGAGGGAAAAGTAGAAACAGACATCGACGAGCGTGCAGGCAGAGAAAATGAGACGGAAAGAATCAAGATGACAGAAGAGACTTTGGGGTCAGAAGCAGATAACGTAGAAGACACACAGGATGTTGATTGTTCCTGCTCCACCTCTTCCATGTCTGTTACACTTTATGACACAGACCCCGACACTCACAGCGCATTACACGCAGATGAAACCCAGAACACACTTGATGCCGCCAGCCCTCCAGATACTCAGGATATTGTACCTGCACCACCCGGCCTCGTTCATGACAAAAAGACCTCCTCCTCTCCTTCCTGTAAAGCCCCAGAGAGACTATCTAGCATGGTGGTGCTCAAACACTCCTCTCCAAAACCCCCTCGCAGGATGTGTAGGAAGGTAAGCCCAAGTCCTGGCCCAGTCTCTGAAAACGATCCTATCATGGCGCCTTGTCTAGATCCAAACCCCTGCCCTATCCCTGAACCTGAAATAGATTTGAACCCAAAGCCAACATCTCCCAGTTCAGACCCTACAACTACCCCAACAATTAGTACATCTACTAATAAAAACCCTGGGTCTGAACCCACCCCTTCCTGTAACCTGGAACTTACCTCAATTATTGATCAAGCCCCTGATATCATCACCATATCTGCTCCGGATCCTATATCTGGTGTATCTCAAGAGCCATCTTCCCCTCAGCTGATCACAGAGAGCTGGTGTGAGACTCTTCAGAGCCTGAAAGAGACGCTGTCTGCACATGTGGCCTGTGATGAGAAAAGCCAGCTCTCCTTGAGCGAAACTGTCCCTGTCCCCGCCACAGAACAATCAGAGCCTCTTGACTCGGTGGATGCGTTGGCTTCATGCACCAAGGCGTCCGGCTTAAACATCCTAAAACCTGCACATACCTCAGATGATGAACTCAGTGGTGAAGATGACAACAGGGAAGTGGTGGACTCAGATGAGCCAAACGGCAGCTTGCAAGAGACCACGCTTGGTTCACTCTCCTCTCCCCACTGTGCGAGCCCCCTTGTATCCTGTCTGTCCCCTCCTGTGCTGAGTCTATCCCCTGCCTGCTTCACCTCCTCGCCCCCCAGTCTCAGCCCTCCGCCATGTCTAACCCCTCCCGCTCACTGCCTCCCATCCGTGCTGCTGAACACCATCAACCCCTCCACCAGCAATAGCTCTCCACCCCTGAGCCCTACCTCGTCTTGCCTCAGCTCACCTCCTTACCTCACCCCTCCTATGCTGAGCCTCAGCCCACCTCCCCTCTGTCTTAGTCCCCCTTCCCCATGCCTCAGCCCTCCCCTCCTCTCCCTCACTCCTCCGGTGGAGTCGGAGGACCTGGTACCTCAGGTATCTTCAGACATGGAGCCTTTAATAATGAACACAGGCAGCGAGAAACAGATTAAAGATTCCTCACCTCAGCCAGAAATTCCTCACCTACAGCTGGAAGATAAACAGGAGGAAGATCCTATCTCGCTGGGACCTCAGGTTGTAGAACCTGTCTCATTTCCCATTACAATCCCAAGCTCTACCCCACGTGTGCCACCTCACTGTCAGTCTGAAGGCCCAGGAGAATCAACCCCTTCAAAAGCCGATGAGGCATCCCACTCTGTGCCTGAGAACAAAGAGGCCCCTGAGGTGACCTCAGTCCTACCCGAACAGAGCTTTACTCTTCAGACTTCTGGCTCAGTCCCTGCTGTCGAGGTCCTGGCAGAGAGCATGTACGGGGACTTTGAGGCAGCCATGGACCACCTGCGCTACCGTCTCATCGCCACCAGGAACCCAGAGGAGATCCGAGGCGGTGGCCTGCTAAAATACAGCAACCTGTTGGTCAGGGACTACCGACCAGCCAGCGAGACTCAGATAAAGACACTTGAGCGCTACATGTGCTCACGCTTTTTCATTGACTTCCCTGACGTGCAGGAGCAGCAGAGGAAGATCCTGTCCTACTTGAAGAACCACTTTATCGGCGAGGAGAGAAGCAAGTACCAGTACCTAATGACGCTGCGCCGCGTGGTCGACGACAGCACAGTGTGTCTAATGGGACACGAGCGACGTCAGACCCTGAACATGATCACAGTGCTGGCTCTGAAGGTTCTAGGAGAGCAAAACATTATCCCCAACACGGACCACGTGACGTGCTTCTACCAGCCAGCCCCGTACCTGGCGGATCACAGTGCCCCCTACATAGCAGAACCTAGCTACTGCAGCTACTACATCCCCCAAGGGGGATCAACTCTGCTTTACCAACCGTACCCCCTACACCTGCACTCACAGACTGGACTCGTCTGAGACACACACATCATCACACAGAACATACAATCAAAACAAAGGAAAGGTGCTTTTCATGAGGAAAGAGCTGGAGAATGGAAATGCAATCCACTGTTTGGTCTATAATAGACCTATGGGGGTGGGATGAGTGGGTTTTTACAGTAAACTCCTTGAGTATTCTGTAAAGTTCTAATATGATTATATGTAATTATCTGGGCTTTGTGGAAAAATAATATTTTTTCCGATATTGTTGAAATCCCAGAAAATGCTTTATGCACGGCATGAGTCATAGTCCTTTGGTCTCCATGGGAAACCAACTGTGCTGTTGACATTCACACTCACATTCACAAACAAACACAAAAACACACACACAGACACAAACAACACAGGAAACTCACACTTCCAGGTTCTTCAATTCTTGTACTTTATCTTCATGTTCTTACTGTGTTGTTCTTAATGCGTTTGTTCAGAATGTGAAACTTGCCTGTTGTTGATATTGTGCATGGATAAGTTAGGACTGTTCACTGCCAAATACTGTGTGACTACTATGCTTCTTAAACAGTTAAATGTAACTTAGTTAACTTAATCCTTTACTGAAAGGGGTGTACTCTGAGAAAAAAAAACACAGAGAGACAGGTTCGCGCTGTGCACAGAGCTTTCATCAAAACACACACGTACACTCGACACACACACAAACAAAAACACTCTCTGTGTGAGTCTACTCTACGCACACAGACACTGCATGAGTAGCTAAATACAGTATATAGATCACTTGATCTGAAATCAAAGGAAAGCCTTTTAATTTAATATGAATTTATCTATTTTTGCAAGACTTTCCAAGATAATACTCAACAGACTGGTTAGGTCCCACAGAAAAACGCCAACAACAATGCCTTTGCAATAGCCTGTACCGCGTATTGATTACAGTATATTGTGTGCGGATACACCGCACTGTTTTCAGGTAAACTGTGTTAAACTGTCGTGCTTGATTCCTTTCCTCTTGTGGAGTCCTTTCTGTAATCATGTGAAGTACTGTACTATCTAGTGTTGATTTGTTTAATGCTGAAGTTGACTCTGTGGAGGTGGTCAGGTTACAACCATCTTTGGGTTATCTCCAAACATGGCAGAAGAAGCGCTGTCTGAAACCAAGCGATCGAATCCCCATATTAACGAGTTCCAAACCACCTCAAACCTGTTTCAATCAAAGCTGCGCAACAGCAACTGACCAAAGATCGTTTGGTAGGGAAATCAAGTGCCTCAATGTGAGACATCATTGGCATGTCTTTATCTCACTGGGGGTGTTACTGTGGTGGGCCTGGGGCTGGGTCAGGTGTGTGTTCAGTTGTTGACCCCTGTTATTGCTGCCTGTTTTGATGTCTTATTTAATGTAGTCCTTTGTTGTAGTTAATTCGTGTACGTTTTGATAAAATAAAGGGGAAACTCAACAAACCTTCAGAAATTGAATTATTTCCAAAGAAACTTTAAAAACAAAAAGAATCCCAACACTTGTTTGTGCATCTTTTTTTCCATTCTCATTCTCTCCCTCCCAGCTGACGTATCCTGCCTATGATTACGCTCTGCAATGATCCACTTAAGCGTGACCGTCAAATCACACCGGTGTTGAGGAGAGCCACCCAAAGCTCTCTTATCATAAATCAACTGTCCTTCGGATGCGTTTGGACCCGAATGACGCACGATCTACGCAACACGGCAGCCTCGACAACGTGTAAATGTGAGGAGGCTCGATTGGGCATGAGGTGTGAGACTGGAACGCTAGACGGATGGAAGGGGTGTGTGTGTATGTGTGTGTGTGTGTGTGTGTGTGTGTGTGTGTGTGTGTGTGTCTGTCTGTTTGTGATTGATTGTGTGTGTGTGTGTGTGTGTGTGTGCGCCCTCTCTTCAGATGGGAATATGTGTGCAGAGGTGGCATCAGGTGGTCCCCTTCTCCACCGAGTAATTGAAGAGGCCTTGTATAATGAAACAATAAGGCTCCCTCCTCACTCCCACGTTGCCTCCATCTTTTCATCCCACTTCACTGACACTAATAAGTCACGGGCACAAGGGGAGACTGGGGGTGTCTCTTTCCACAGAATGGGGGAGCTCGTTTGATGCCAGGTATACTTGGCACAGTCACACATCATCTATTTACACACACTTTAGGCAGAGCCTGTGGCTCGCTGGGAGAGAAGCAGGGCGTGTGATCCAATAGGGTCTGTATCAGCGTCTCGCAGGCCTTTGAGTCACTTTGGTCCACTCGGGGGGGTTTCCATAGAGACAGAGACAGCACGGTGTGCGCGGGCATAGCGCATGACGGAAACCAGGGAAGACCCACACAAACGAAATGAGGGGGGTGAGAGATTTAAAAAAAACACAAAGCACAATGGAAGAAAGAAACAAAGAGAGGCGGCTGGAATGAAGGAAAGGCAGCGGAGAGGGAAACAGAGGGAGATGGATAGTGGAGAGAGTTGAGGGATGGAAAGCAACAGGCAGAGAGGGGAAGTGAGAGGGTGGCTGGGTTATGGAAAAAGCAGGGGGGAGCGGGGGGAGTTTATGGGGAGAGCGTGGGTGGTTGGTCTTCAGTCACAGGGGAGTCACTGCGAGGCGGCGGCAGTGACGGCGGCAGTGATGCTGGAGAGCAGGGGAACGCACCTGCCAGAGCACACGCACCGAGCCACGTGCACAGCGGTTTTTGCCGATGGCGCCGCCCACCTGTCCTTTGTCAACAAACTGTGCACTGAGACAAAAAGAGAACATCACCCACACATCTGTCCTCTCCCTCTCTCTCTCTTTCTGTCTCTCACATGCCCGGGTTGATGCGTTTGATTCAACAAATCTACTCAGAATCACCTTCGACATGTAGGTTTATACTTACAAAAAAGTATTTTCAGAATTAAACATCTGCCTGTTAAGAAAAAACACATCTGTCTGTAGTATTAATGATAACAGAGGCATCCAAGTTTCTTGCCAGAGAAACTTGTTGCTCTGAAGGGTTTCCAAATGAATTCCTCTGTAACAAGCTGTCCATTGCCAGCCCCTTTAAAGTCTTACGATTATGTGAATGCAAAAAGAGCCGGTAGCTGTTATAAAGCCTTTATAAAACAACATAATAATGATATTCGTGAGGGTTTTACGCTCTTTTGCAGAGCGGGCGTTGTCTTTCCGTGAGGCCGAGGAGCACCTGGTAATGAAATGGATACGTAGTATTCACCATTCATCTCTTGTTTTCTTTTGTTTTTCTCATTCAACTACAACCTCCTTCCCCTCCATAACCCGCAACACCCACGTGCTCCACCTTCTCCCCCCTCCCACTGCATGCCTCCCACCCACCTGCTTGCTATGACTCAGTCCTCTTCAAGCCGAGGGTACAAGAGGATAAAAACCTGGTGATAAAAAGCCAGGGGGGGGGGATTTGAAGTCAAAGAAATAGAGCAGTTGGCTGAGCTGAGAGGCTGTTGCATCTTTAGTTCTAATGCCACCCACCACACTCACACTCCTCCATTTCCCCTAATCAGAATCACACACACACACACACACACACACACCACCTTCATGCTGAAAATGATGCACCCTTACACTATCTGCTGGAACAGCAACATTCGGAAGGGCGTGCAAGTGTTTCATGGATGGATGGGTTTTGTTTCTTGTGTTTTTTCATTGCTTTTAAAACATCGATCCAAAATTTGAGCAGTAACGCAGGATAGGCCTCCTGTCCGCTTTTCTCTTTGGTATCCAAATCCATCCAACGGTCTGCGGCTCACAGGGACTTGGATGACTATATGCAAACTCAGCGCAGCATGATGGATCATATTTCTGCAAATGTTCACCAGTGGCGGCACAAAGGACTGAGGCAGCACAGCTGTACATGAATTAGTAGTTTCCTATTTTCAAAGCACTTTTACTTTGCAGACTTAAAGTCATTTTGGCCAATTCATTGATGTATTTTTTTTGTATTTTAAAGCCGGATTTACTTTCACTAATTGTAGGCTTACACCGTCCATTGGGGCCTTTTACAGTGAAACATCTGAGTATTCCAGAGTGAATCCCCCCAAGACAGCTTTAAACTAATGTGACTGAATGAAAGTTAAATTAAATAAATAAATAAGTAAACAGATAAACGTGTCCACTCTCAGATCTTGAATGAATGATGTTTACCTGTTTCTGAAAACATGAAAACTTTTAAGAACGTCTTTCTCTCTGTTTTTGTTGCTGCTGAATGACAAACACCAGAGGCTGACATCACCATCAGGGTCTGAGAGGAACTCAGAGCTGCGTGTCAGTTTGTGTTTGTCTTCTTATGTTGGGTGGTATGTGTGTGAGTGTGCTTATGTTTGTGTGCTGATGTTTGTGTGCGTGATCCATGTTCCACTGCTGCAGTTGGCAGTGAAGCATGTATTAACATGGGAATAAAAGAGGAGGGGAGCGTTTCGGCGCGTGCATGTGTATGTGTCGAGGTTTGGGGGGGCGATGTGTGTATATGTGTGTGATTGACGTCACGGGCGCCCACTCGTTTCAATCTCTTCAGCGTGCGCGCAGAGAATAGATCCCCCATCTGCATCCAGCTCTTCTCCCCTGCCTGCACCCTCCCTCCCAACCTCGTCCTCCTCTCCTCCTCCTCCGCTCCTCCTATGGCGCAGCCAGCTTCGCAGATAAACGTCGAACAACACAAACAGTTTAGGACATCCAGACAGCAACCCTCTCCGAGCGGCGTGTCAGAGATCCTCGGCCGCAGAACATCTGCTCATTTCCGAGCGTCACTCGGGTCCAGTCAGCGGGGAGGACATCAGACCGTAGGCGACGTGAACGTGTAAACCTGCTGGCAACTTACTTTTGGTCCGTGCACGCATGTACGCGCGTATATCTGTCCCATTGCTCCGCATGCGCAGTCGTGCCTGCGTGTGTGACGCTCTTTACGGAAAACAATTGCTCATCCAAATTCACGCAGCTGGTAACCTTGGTGACGACAGGACATCATCTAAATCAATTCCGCGTAAAAAGGTCATCCTCACCTTTGCGCACAGACACACAGAAACACACGCACACACGTACACGCCGGTGCGTACGCAACGTGAGTGGGAGGGCGCGTGGCCGTGCGTGTGCGAGCCAACACGCGCACTCTTTGAAACGCACACTCATTCACCCCACCCTGCGTGCGTGCCAGACCCGAAGCCGTGGGGATGTGAATGGATGTAAATGGATGAGGGGACGCGTTGGATGAGTAAGAGGTGTGCGTGTTTAAAAAAAGAAAATATGGGCTATTTTGGTCCATTTATCATAACACGTCAGAGAGTTTGAGAGGACAGAATGAGCGCGCACACTGGGGGCGTTGTGCAAAGCCTTTAGGGCACAACTCCGCTGCGATTATTACACGGTGAAAAACAAACAGAAATAGAGGATGAGGCGCAGAGCGGCAGACTGGCAGGTGGTCAGACAGACAGTTAAGCGGATAGACACGCGTTCAGTTCAGACAGCAGGCGCGTACCGAGATAAAGCAATATTAGAGTAATAACCAGCTATTTGGGGTCAGAATTCTAATAGAATGTGTGACGACTCGAAGAGACTGTGAAGATTAACTTCCTGTTTTATTTTTGTAACCACGGCACTTCCTGTATCTAGTTTCCCCCCACAGCTGAGTTTAGTTTGCAATCACCTCCACCCGTATTTAAGCCTCAGTTCCCCACTTGTCTGTGTCAGGTTATCTTTTGTCCTTCCTAGAAGTACATGTTTGTTGTTAAATTCCCAGTGCTGTTTTTTTTGTAATCTTGTTTCTACTTCGTTGCCAGGCTCTCTTCCTTTTTGTTTCTATAAGAGCGTGTGGATTCCGCCTTTGCCTGTGCACCCTTTGTTTTGCATTAGTTTACTCTCCTAGTAAAAGATTCCAAACCTTGAAAGAATTTTCTGTTGCCTTATTGCTCTGCACCTGAGTCGAAGTCCTGACCCCTCACAGAATGCGCCCGCACGCAGATCGAAGCGTCGCAACGAGCCACGTGGTTGATCACAGCGGACACGATGGATGGAGGGAAATATTACAAGGCCAAAAAACTTTCTGTTTGATCCATAGATGTCCATGTTGGTAACCCCATCAATAAATCTCACGTCCTGTGAGCATCTTAACCGAACCGTCTGTTTGAAACTTATATATATATATAAATATATATATATATATATATATATATATATATATATATTTTTTTGAAAAGGCCTGGAGGACTTTTGATGAGCCTTTTTATGTTGAAGCCTGTGATCTATCTCTTATTAATCATCGATCACACCTAATGTGTGTTCCGAGGTGGGGGGAAGGGGGGCGGGGGTTTGAGTGCATCGGGTGGTAAATATGAGGTTAAAGCCTAGTTTATGCTTCTGCGTTCTCAGAGCGACCCCCTCGCGTGTCCCTTGGGTGCGTCGAGACATTTTTCTGGGCTTGGGTTAGCGCACAAGGCAGTGATTGGTCCGCTAACTACATCCTTTAAGGAGTCTCACATTTTTGGTTATAAATATTTCCTGACTCCTGATTTCCGTTTTCATAGCCCGATACCGGCATTATTAAAACAGCATTAAAAAAGCATGTGTACGAGAGGCGGCCCGGTAGCGTGGTGGTTCGTACTGTCGCCTCACATCAAGAAGCACCAGGGTTCGACTCCGCCCAGTGGCCTTTTTGTGTGGAGTCTGCGTAGTTCTCTCCGGTTTGACGATGGATGGATGGAGAATGTTTACGAGAGAACGGATCAGATTGATGAGCTTTTGTTGGAAGAAATGCATACATTTGACCGCTTATACAACGGGTTGGATTCACGGAGGGAGATCTCCGCAAACGCCGGTTTGCCGGTCGAGAGGTGCACAAAGTTGTGGAGGAAAACACGGGACAAATGTGTCCGCGATGAAAATCAGCAGTGGCGATGCACGGGGCAATAAAGTCTATGATAAATAAATAAATAAATAGACGTGACTCTCTAGGTCGTCAACGAAACACGTCACTCCGCCTGTTGTTCTGGAGGTGAATTGCTCTGCAACACACGCAAGAACCATGAATTGAAAGTGCGTCGACGCAACGACGCAGACGCACGCGCCAGCCTTTACCCTCCACAGCTCCTCTGTGTGTGTTTACAGGAGCGAGGATGAGGCGATGCCGCCATCCAGCGGTGACTCGGCGCCACGACGCTCAGCACGTGCAATACAAAAAATATCGACAAAATGGAGCCCGTTGCTCGGCCATGACAACGCAGGTCAGACGGGCCGCCAAATGCTGCACCGAAAAGCGGAAGAGAACCGCTGTGATCTGCCGTGATCTGCGGGGAGTACCGGCAATGATTCATAGGTAGAAGAGCACTCATAGGCGCCCGACGGAATCATGATCAGAAAGGTCTTCCGAGGTCATAATCAAATCATTTTTATTATTGCTGTCATATAGACGAGGTTGCAAATAAATTACACCGTATGAAAGAAAAAGCAGAAGAAGAGGTGAACCTGCGTATTTTAATCGACATCAAGTGAAGTTTGGTCCTCAGCTAACAATCACATCCACATTCACACACTGCCAATGCAAGCGCACACACACACACACACACACACACACACACTCAAAGCTGAGGAGAGGTAGGCCCGTTCCTGCTGTGTTTGCTTAATAGACTACTTAGATTTTCCGAACATGGATTTCATGGAGCACTCCATATGACATATGGCTCCCACATAATAAAACCGTGCTATTTTGCGTGAGTGTTTCGGTGAATGTAGGTCACGGTGCTCGTGCTCGAGTTCACGTCTTAAAGAGTTAAATCCGAACGTGTGAGGCCTGATGAAGATGATGTCCGTCCCCTCGGGGTGTGTAGGGAATCTGCACTGTCACTTTCCTTCTGACGACTGCAACATATTGTGGGGCCTTCAGCGTCTTGTTGAGACCTTTTACTTCAGCGATTCATAGGAAGGCTGAATCATTCTTTAGGGAGGAATGAATGGAGGAGCAAATGTCTCCCGGTAAGATACGGAGTCCTCGTTGGGGAGTAGTGTCCCAGCAGTAGCTAGTGACCTTTTGCTGCCCTGACCTTGACATGGATCTGTGGGATCGATTCTAAAGGTTCTCGTCAGAGGATAAGCAGCTCCCTACAGTTAAGAGTTTGGAGGATCAACACTGTGTCCTCAGAGGAGAGATTGGATTTGTCAACAGTGACATTACTTCACAGACAGGTCTCATGTAGCCCACAGCGGTTGACTGAAACTTGTTTTACTACCTTGCATGTGATCAAATGAAGTTTACAGAGGGTAAGAGTCCAATTTACATCTCTCCCCATAGAGAAACACTAAAGAGGTCTCTTGTGGTATAATGGTCGATGCATTAGAAGTATGTTGAGTGCAGGTTTAAAGCGATTGTTGCAGACCTCCAGGCTTTTCCTGCCTGGATTGCCCGAGAGGTCACACGGGTCGACTTTAGTAAAGGCCTGCTTGCAAATCACTTTTTACTTCAACTTTAAAACATTGTGGTGATTCCTCAACTTCCATAGCTCTTTCTCTCCCTTAAAAGAAACAAACTCGTGACACATTATATCGAGGAAAATTCCCAGGACTTGTTTTTATTAAGAGAATTTCAGAACATAAGAGTGGGACCAGACACCTGCAATTTGTCAGAGAAGGTTTCCAAATTTGATTGTTTAAAAAAAAACAGAGTGTTTAGAAAAGCTGACGTGACAGCGTGGATGGAGCGGGAGCTGTTTCACACGCAGGGTCGTCTAGGAGACGGGTCGGAGGCAATTGCTGTTCCCGGAATGTTTCACATGTTCGTCTTCCTCTTTCTTATGGACAACACGCTTTTTTTTTTTTTTTAACACGAGTTCAATGGGAAAAAAAAAAAAAAAGAAAAAGGAAAAAACCTAAAGAGACAAAAGCAAAAGGGAACTCGCTGAACATTTAGAGGCCTAAAAGAGTCAGCCATTAACATGGCTGAACCGTTATTATTACATGGATAAAAGGCTGAACTGTAGAGGGGGGGGGGTCTAATCTGGGGAGGATGAAGAGGGGAGGAGGGGAAAATGGGGGCGAGGAGGAGAAACACAGGAGTACACAACTCACGACATAGCCAATCTGGCAAGGGGGGGTGGGACGCACTTTCTACACCAAACAAGCCTTCAACAATCATGAAATGCCATTTAAAAAAGATTTTAGTGTGTTCATCTTGCTTGTAGACACTTGATATGACCACTGCATAATCAGCTTTGCTTTTTGTGCTAAAAATCTGTACGGATACTTATAAAATCATTGATAAAAATATTCCTCTGTTAACAATACGCCTTGGAGGGAAACCATGTGAGAGACTTGGAGGGGGGCTGGCTGGTTGGCTGGGGTGGTGGTTTGGGGGGGTCGGGGATTTGTAGAGGACGAGGAAGCTTGGGCAGTGGTGCTACTCGGACTTGGCCTCCTCCTTGGCCTCCTCGGGGGCTGCCTCCACCTGCGGGAAAGAGCAGAGAGAGGTCAAGGTCAAAACGTTGAGCCGGTCGGGGGTCGTCCCGCAACCCCCCTTTCAGAAACGCCCCCCCCCCCCCCCCCGGCGTCGCTCTGCGAGTTCACCCACCTCGTTGGTCTTGGCGTCTCCGTTCTCAGAGTGGTTTTCCTCGTTGGCCTCGGCCTCTGCGTTCTCCTTCGCCTTCTTGGTCTTCTTGTCCTCCTTCTTGTCGATCACGGCCTTTTCTTTCTGCGGGGGCAACGAGACGTGTCGTTAGCTGGCTGGGTGGGGGCACACTCTCTGCGGCCGTACGCCTCTGGAGCCGCTCTTACCTTTGCTGCCTTCTTGGCCTTTGGCTCTGCCTTGGCCGGGACCGGTCTCTGTGATGGAGGAGAACCAGGTTGAGAGAGTTTCCCGTGTTGCTTTTTTTAAGAGTTTGGTTTTTTAAAACTCATTCAAAATGTTCCCGACAATAGAACCTCTTTAATACAGACATCGTCTGAGTGTTTAAAACAAATGTATCTGCCTCTAACTGGGTTAAATAGGTAATTATACAATATTGACAAAGTGAAAGAGAATCATTGTGAAGCCCTCTATTATTATATATTGATATTTCACGTCTTGTAGCAGCTCTGTACTCTATAATAGCAGAAACCTTTCTAATGAATGTTTTATCCTAATAAATACATTTATTATAATCTTTACGATAGTGCTGACGTCTTAATTACTATATCATTCAGGACTTGAATAACCTAAACCACTTCTAAAGCTTAATATTGTAAAAATGACATGTTTTGAAGTTTGTTATTCTTAGGAATCCAATCAAAGTATTTAATTTAGACAGAAACATGTTTCTATTCCTGTTCTTTCCTTAAAAGCAAAAAACATTGCTTTATTAAATTGGTTATACACGTGTGCAGCTACGTTTAAGTGTTCTACCGTGATTCACATGTTTAATGAGCAGATATTTAAACGAGTTTCTCTGTGCGTCTTCTTACCGATGATAACCGGGCTGATCTCCTCTGGGGCTGAAACACAACAAAGACCGTTAGTTGGATTTGGGCTAGATTCAGGACACCAGCATTAGAATTCAATAATAGTTGTTTTTTTGTTTATTATGGCCTGACAAGTCCCACATAGTGATTTAAATTCTATTTTAACAACTTGCGTGTGGTGTTTCTTAACGTGCGCCCCTCTTACCTCCTCCCTCTCTCCTCCATCCGTTACTGGTGTCTGAAAAACAAAAATGCAGCAGATTGAAAATAAAATAGCAACACTAAAGGTTTAAATGGTGTTTATACAAACTAGAAAGAGTTGTTAAATTCTTCAGCCGCATATTCCGAATAATTATAGACCTGCTGAAAAAACTTTTTGCTTCGGCGCCCATATAAAATGTTATGTCCCGTACAGGTCATTTTAAAGGCTCACAGCCCCGGAGCGATGTGGTGATGCGCGGTTTCAGTCACGGGCCTCGAGGACTCAGCCATGCGGGCCTCTGGAGCCACATTTCGGAGGGCCCGGGCACTGTTTTTCCCCCCTTTCACTCCCCCATCTCTTTCTCTCATTGACTGCATGAAGCTCAGATTTGAAAGCTGGCGCGGGAGTCTGCGAGAAGGGGGAGGGACCTGGCTGCTGCTCTCCCGCGCCACCGGGCGGCAGAGCCGCGCCACCGCAGCCGTTCGGGACTATGAACAAAGAGAGAAAATATACAATTTTACCGAAACGCGACGGCGAGTGCGGGCTTTTGTGGTCAAAATGCAAAGTGCGGGCACTGAGGCATTTTCTCCGGGCACTTTTCGCCGGTTTGGGGTCGAATTGGCGATACGCGGGGCGCTTGTTCTCGGCGGGGTCGGCGACGAAGGTGGACAAGAGCTGCAAAGCATGGCTGCTGCTTGTGCTTTAACTGCATGGAGACCGAGGGAGACTTCTGACTCCCCAAAGGACAGCGGCTGGTGCGAGGGAAACGCGATTCTAAGGCCGTGTCTGAGCGGGAAAATATTCATTCTAACGCATAAAAAATGCACATTATATCTAGAAAATAGGCAAAAATTACCGGCGAGATCTCACGGTTATATACGTTATAATTAAGTAATGTCTCAGAGGGATGTCTTCACAACCGTTTGCAATGCACACACACACCGCCGATATCCCCCTCAAACTACCGGGACCTTTGAGGATATACGCACCTTTCTCTTGGGCATGTTGATCTCTTGGAGGTGTTGTCACGAATACAACTAAAAACTGTTTTTCTCAGTGGGTTCGCTGCATGTGAAGACGAGCGTCTCCCTTATGCTCGGCAGTGTAGTAAACACACTGGAACAGAGAGGCGAGTGGTTGAATGGGGGGAGGGGTGCGGCTAAAGGCATGATTGATAGGCTCCCGGCCAATCAGGTGACGCCATTCGGGGCCGCAGAACACTCGGAATTTTTTGGAGCCGGTGGTGTTTGAGGTCTGCGCGAATGGCTTCTTCCCCATCCTACGGCGGGGGGGAGACGAGAGGACGCCCGCGAGAGCGAGAAGGGCCGCGCGGGAGGACATGTTAGGCTCGCGCGGAGTGCGTTACAGTGCGGGGGGGTGCGCGGGTGGGTCGCTCCACTGGCCCGGCGGCGGGCCCGCCATCAGACCCCCTCAAGCCCCAGTGTGAAGCCATTCATCCCCGCTCGCCCGGCGGAAACCCAACGCCCCACGTCGGCCAGCGGGGAGAAAAAGTCACCATGAATTCACTTCGTGTTTGAGTCCAACATGGCGCCCTGTCTTCCCCGGCACATTTTCTTTTCTTTTTCTTTTTTTTTTTGGTTTGTCAGTCGGCTTTCCCTTAAATTCATCACAGCAGAGCCTCGTGCCGTCTGCTCCAGACGCCTGCAGGGGGCCTCCGAAGCCCGCGCGACGAGGCGGCGGCTCGGGTCCGCGCTCCGCCGAACGAGGCCGAGCTTCTTGTGACACGAAAGGGCCCACTGAGTGTTTCCCACACAACATCTTTGTCCTTTTCTCTCCCACCTCACCTTCGGGTGGCCGCGCAAGGAACACCTGCAGCGGTGCACGCGCGCGCTGCTGTAAATAGTGGAGGGGGGAGGGGGTATATCGAATTTCTGGTTTGCAGAAAATGGAGGTAAATGGTGAAAATTGTTCAGGCAATATCACCCTGTTGTTTTGTCATCATTGTGGGCCCCGTAAACGGGTCTGCGCGTGCGTGCGTGTGAGTGCACGCGCGCTCCGGCTCTACAGAGAGAGAGAGAGAGAGAGAGAGAGAGAGAGAGAGAGAGAGAGGGGGTGGAGGCTGAGCACAGAAGCGGAGGAGGAATGTAAAACCTCCATCCAGAGCCGAGAGCAGCAGCCTTTGCGCAGACAGTCTGCGCTGCCTTCAACAGACGCACCGCCGGAGGAGGGAGGAAGTTCATCGTCATCGTCGTCGTCGTCGTTGTTGTCGTTTCTCGCCCCGCAGCCGAGCGATCCGAACCCGCGAAGAGTCTGCGAGCAGCAGGGAGAGACCCCGCCGGACTCGCGTCGGCACCACGGATTAAAACATGGTGATCAAAGTGTACATCGCCACGTCCTCCGGATCCACTTCGGTAAGCGATAGGGGAGAGTGCCGCGCTGTTGCGGTGCGTGATGTGCAGCCATCTGCAGCATCCAGCGAGACTTTGGCCACACATGCAGTCCGTCAGTGTCCCCCCACCCCCCTCCCCCTACCCCCATCTCTCTCTCCCTCTTTGCCCTCTTTTAACTTTTCACACGCTTTCAGAGGGGAAGTTTTAATGCACCTTTCGGCTGGTCTGCAGCAGAGGTTCCTCAATTCACAGCTGATTTGTGCAGCTGAGACCAGGCTGACTAACGGGCCGGTCTGTGTGCACGAGGAGTCCTACTTATTGCCTTCAGAGCCCTCCCTGCAGCCCAGAGGACCACCGGCGTCATACTTCATAGTGGAGAAGGACGACGGGGTTGCAATTCTCGGGGGGCCTTCTTTGTGCTCTGTTTGGGAGTTATCAGTAGTTGATTTGTGGGGAATTTGCATGCACTAATTGGACTAAAGCTTAAATTCTGGCTTATCAAATACAGTCTGCGTTCAGCATCGTGTTTCTCCACATAATCGGCGATATCACTAGCAGTCACTTTGAGTTTGTCACAGTCCTGGGACTCACTCAAAACATTTCACAGCGTGGAATTGAAAGTGATGTAGCCGGTGGAGAAGCCTTTGAATTAAAAGCCCTCACCAAAGGTACTAAAATGAATGTGTTGACACATTAAGGAGGATTTCTGCTCATTGAGCAGCAGGCCTTCACAGATCCCACACAGAGGCGGAAGAACATGTGTCCTTTTTCTTTCTACCCCCCCCAGCTGGACAGCTATTACAGTGTTACAGGACAGCAGCGTCCCGTAAAGCCACAGTGGTCTGAGTTTTGAGCCGTAGCGTGTCTTGGAAAAGATCTATTGCCTGTCATTGATTTGTCGAGTAAATGGCGCCCAGACTCTTTGTCTCAGTCTACATCTCCTGTTGCAGTTGGAGGAACAGCAACAGTATTCCTCACTGAAGCTAAGTGACATCAACGCATTGTCTCTGCTTTTACCTGATCCACTTTGCTATGGGAACCGATTTCTCTGGATGAGCGTAGAATCAGGAGATGCTGTCACGTTACAGATCTGAGCCCGCATTCACTGGGACAGCCGTCCAGTAAAAAGAGACACCAGGCCAGTCATTAAACTGCGGTTCGTAAAGTCTTAACTTACAGTTCGATTGCATCGGTAGCTATAAAACAATGCGATAGCATTCCTCCACCCTGCAGTGTGTGTGAATCACATCGGTCTAGTTCGGCGTGTGATGTGAGTGAAGGCGCAGCCGAAACGCACAGACTGGTGCGAGTAGTTGGTTTTCTTTTTGTTGGTTTTAAGTTTAAAGCTTTTGCGCAACTGAGAAAACGATTGAGCCAGAGGGGAGACTTTACACTCCCTTATTTCACTTATTGACAGCTTGGCTCTCCCCTGACCTATGACCTCAGACCTTGTGTAGGCCTCATGTTGACCTGCCCTGTGTGACGGACTTTAGAGAATAACTTTACCTTGATGGGATATTTGCATGCAGTATATCTGAGAGAATAGCGCTTGTTCTTGTGTTGCCTGCTCCTTTTGGTCACATCGCAGACAAATTTGGATAACAAATATCAGAATGTTCTATTTGAATTTATGTAAATTCTCGCATGCAAATCCACACCTGTAGCGGTGCATCTAGCGTGCCTATAGAGCACCAACTGACACTGTGGAAAGACCCATTAACATTGGCCGGCAGCACAGCTCATTTACCGCCCCGCTTCGCTTCCCGTACCGCTGTCACACCAGTATACCATTTCCTCATTGCCACTAAGAATCCGTGGCAAGTTGGGAGCGTTTTTCTTTCCTTGTTTGTTGACCCCTAATTCAGATGCGCTGCTCTTAATCCACTGTCGGTCTCACGTTTGAGGCCTGAAAGTTGGGTTTGAGCTGGACGGTTTCAGTGAGTTAGTCTGTGTAAAAAAGCAACAAAAAAAAAGTGGCATTTTATGACATTTTGATGTGTTTTCACCTTCGGGCGGCAGCGAGGGAACCCAGCCAAGAGCACCAGTGCAAGGCTGTTTTCCTAGGGATCAGGTGGAGGCTATTGTTGCTGCTGAAGTTCCACTAAGCGTCCAATCAGGATCTCACCAACACCTTCATCCTGAAGGAGCACACACTGGGCCGGGGTCCGTTTCCCTTTAGTCCCGGCTGTGGATGTAGTCTGCGTTCAAACGTTACACTCCAGGTCCATTAGGAATGTCGATTAGCCTTCTCGGTAAGGGATGCTTGACGACCGCCAGTCTTTTCCTCTCACATGTGAGCGCGTTGCACACAAATTGATCCTGGGACAGAGTCAACATTACTGATTGAATTAGTTCCCACCGCATTGATCCAAGCTTTTGTTTCTAGATACAGGGCTTGAAAGTCAATGTCTGTCGCTGCCTGGCAGCTGCTAATGACCGGCGCCTGCTTTCATTTCAGGGATTGAATGGTTCTAAATCTGATCAGTCATATCGCAATCCCTCGCATGGTCATACTGATGATGAAAGAGCATATGTTGTCCTTTTTTTAAAATCAGATACAGACCAATAAAGATCTATGCAACAATAGCGATATTTTGCCTCAGCAATCCTAAATCTTTTCCTATTAATGTTTCCTATTTTCAATATAAAATACTACTTTTTTGTTGGACGCATACCCAAGTGGAATTTTGCTCATCTCAGACTTGTAGACACACTGAATCCCCCAATGACTCCTGCCCCTCTCAGATGGCCGTCGATGTGAGGACGCACAAGTAGAGAGCCAGGTCGGGGTGCATGAAACGAGTGCTTGTTATGTACAGTTCCTGTACCGGAGTAGTAAAATCGAATGATTTACCCTGATGTAGGAGTACACAGTCATGCTAACAGCTCCGACCGCTGACCTTTCACCAAAGGCATGCTGGGTACAGCTCGCAAGCCGGCGATGTGCTGAGAGGCTGATGGGGATTAGTTTAGGAGCTATATGGTCGTAACACAAAGAACATATGATTTGTCTGGGAATCGGCCAATTAGTGACGATGCAGAGATATTTCAAAAGGATGAGTACGAAATTTGACCGACTGGGGAAAGTCGGGGGAGAGTCACTGCCTACGTCCACGTCCAGACAAAAGAAACAAGACCGAGACAACGTCCCACCTGCCTTTGCATTTTGTCCTTCAATGTCAATTTATATTTGCATAGCAAGGTAAGCTATACTGTGAGAGAGAAAAGGCATTATGGAAACCACAGGCCCTGCCTGTCTGCCTCACTCTGCTGTTTATCTTATTAGGAGTCATCCTCATCCATCATTTCAGAGCCACAGATGAGGAGTGAAAGGGCAGCATGACAAGAGAAGTTTTTTTTATCACCACACCCACATGCAGGGCCTGCCTTTTTTTTTAAATCCCAGAGAGCCTCGCTAATGATTAAAAAAGGGAAAAGCTGGGAACTCCCACTGTGCAATTAGAGTTGGGGGCAGATGGCATGAGGCCAGTCTGCCCTACAAATTAATTTCCCTTGGCAACATCACAATGCCGGCTTCTTGGGTAATGGCCAGAGTGCAACAGGGGAAAGGAGAAAAAAAGGGGAAAGCCGACTGTTGTGCTCAATTTGTCGCTTTCTCAATTTAGCATAAAGTTTGGGCCTTTGCGGTGCAACCGCCGTTAAATGATTCAGCCTGCGCCACGGCTGATCCGCCGGCATTGTGATTGCGCTCGTTTCCGTGCCTATGGGTCGTTTCAGCTGCTGGCTGGATGACAAAAAAAAATCCACCTGTCTGATCTGAACAACACGTAGGTGGGAGGAGCCCTCGCACAGAAGTGTTGTGACTGACGTCCAACCGATGAATAGATTGTAATGCACAGAACCTTGCCCTGCTTCAACCAGGAAGTTGGCCCGGTTTCCTTTTAGCTGTGTGTGCGTGCATGTGCAGCCGAGGCCGGTTGTGTCTGCGTGTCTCCTGGCAGCAGGCCTTATTTGGCTTGTGTTCGACCAGTTACCTCCTCTCGACTCACAGAGGAGCGCTTGTTTCCGTCTGGCCTTGTAGGGCCATCTTCCCTCTTATACGAACCCACAATTCCATTTATTAAAACCGCGCACACACACACGTCCATGTATATGGAACAAACACATTGCGATCTCCTCTGTAGCTGCTTTGTCAGCTTGCTGTGTGACAGAACCGCTAACATGCCGGTGCACTTTGGAAGTGGCGAGATCCCACAGCGTGTCCCTTTAGATAAGATAAGATATTCCTTTATTAGTCCCACAAAGGGCAAATTCACTGGATCGCGGCAGCAAAGTGGACAGTGCACAAGATACATGGTAAAAAACAACAAGACAAAAGCACCAGTAAAAAGTAAGTAAAAATATAATAATGATAGACAAAAATGAACATAAAAAACACAGTAACTAAACATACTAGGAACTAAATAAATATATGTTGATGTACACGCAGTGTATCACAGTGGTTATTGCACATGTGCACGTGTGTTTTAGTGTTCTTTGGTGGTGTTCTCGGGGATTGATGTCCTGTGGTTCGCTGGGTGCACAGTTGGTTGTGCAGCCTGACAGCAGCAGCAGGAAGGAAGGACCTGCGGTGCCTCTCCTTCACACACCGGGGCTCAACCAGCCGTACGGAGCTTACAGGGCGTCCACCACAGGGCGGGAGCAGTTCCTCATCAGGGATGATAGATGCATTTCTCTTTACTGCTGGGTCCTAGCATTGGTTATCTGATCCTCTTACTTGACAAGCTTGTAGTTTTGCATAAAGCAGTAGTGACTATTTTTAGAAAGAGTACTAAATGGGACCAGTGTTGAATATAGTGGTGTGCCAAATAATACAGAACGGCCTTTTGTGAGACAAACAGATGATTAGAGAGACGTCGTCTCCTCCGTGTGGCCGACCCTGTCTGTGAGGAACATGCTCACTTTAATCCATTAAAATGATGGACATCTGTCAAATCTTAGTACATTTGGACATTAGCGTCACAAATGCTTTTCAAATGGTTCAGTTTTCAACCACATAGGACGGTGGGAGTCCAGTCTTGGGAGTTGCCGTCCTCCCCTCTTTGTGAAAGATAAGAGACAATCCGTCCCCGCTCAGCCCTGCCCGAGAACCCGCTCTTCAAAACTCTTGACGCTCACTTGCCGGCGACCGCTTGTTGATTCAGAAACAGAGTGGCCAGAGATCTCTGCAGTGTTGCGTCTCGCTGCAGAGGAGATGTGTCCTCACTCAGCAGACAGACAGAAGTACAATGAACAAACGTTTCCTCACAACGCTGGAATTTAACACGCGTCTAATTGGCAACTTCCTCTCTCTCCCTGTCTCTCATCTACACCCCCCCACCCCCTCGTCCCGCACGCAGATTAAAAAGCAGCAGCAGGACGTGATGGGCTTCCTGGCGGCCAATAAGATCGTGTTCGAGGAGTGCGACATCGCGGCCAACGAGGGCAACAGGAAGTGGATGAGGGAGAACGTCCCGGAGGAGGCCAGGCCGACCACGGGGAACCCTCTCCCCCCACAGATATTCAACGATAGCCAATATTGCGGGGTGAGTCACGGGAAATAAGTCACAGTACCACAGTAACGGGGTTACACACAGAGCTGCAGCTCATCCCATCATGCTCATCCTCATCATCCTCATCATCGTACAGATTCAGTTTTCTTGAGCTGATGTGTCCTTAAAACTGTTCAAATGTAAAAGTCTGTGTGAAATGTAAATCAAATCGCTGTGTGTAGTGTGAAAGGTGTCCTGCGTAGTGACAAAGCTACTGGGAATGTTCCCTCGGCTCATTGTTGTGGTTTCATGGAATGCAAACCTGCGGATTAGTTTGGCTCTCACCGTTGTCTTTGCTCAGCAAAAGGTAAATTGAGATGAATGCTTAGTTCAAATCAGTGACTATCAGGAAAGCATAGTGGCACGTTTAGCAGCTAAAGAGCCTGAAATGGCCCTAGTCGGAGAGTTAAATGGTGCTACGTTTTTGAAACAATGTTGTTGTGTTGGTCTATATCTAAGCTGATAATGTGCCAATGAGTAATAAAGAAATGGCCGCCTTACATTCTTAAAAGTTCGTACAAAATCTACATACATAAACGTATCCTGGCACAGCATTTAAAGGAATAGTTTAGCATTTTGGCAAAAGAGCGCTAATAGCAGGCAAAAAAATAAGAACTATAACTTTTGAATTGAACATAAAGGTGGAGCTGCTAAGCTAACCTTAGCATAATGACTGGAAATGGAGCCAAACAGCTAGCCTGCTAACCTCGACAGATGGTTGATGGTGCGGATTAAACCAACATGAAATTAAGTGTTATTTAAAGACCTTGTTGGCAGATTTCTTTAATGTTTCACGGAGCCTGGGGAGCAGTTTTCCCCCCCCGGGTGCCCCTCTCTCTGCTTAACGCTGTGGTTAAACTAACTCGCCTTCAAATCATCTGACTCCTGGTGGAAACTCCATAAGCGTATTTTTCAAAATGTCAAACTGTACCTTTTTAGGCATCTTGCGTGGAGCTACGACTACGAGAACTGAACATCTCCAGCTGTGCAGCTGACGGATTGCTGGAAGTGTAGCTGTAAAAGCAGGACTGGCTACATTAAATGTCACAGACTAAGACAACAGCATTTCCTGGGATTCTTGCAGCTGTACGGCCCCTTTACAAAAATCTGTTTAGGTGTGTGCCTGGGGGAGCAAAAATAAGGGGAAACAAAGGAATGAGAGCGACTGCAGGCAACCCAGCGGTTAAACGGGTGAATGTGTTTGCTTGTGGGTTCCAGACACAATGCCCTCCTATCAGACCGACTAGAAGCCTTTCCCTGGACAAATAACACCAACCTAACAATGACTCATTTGGAATGTCGCCCTCGGGCGCTGATCCCGAGCCTGTTCCACATTATCATCCCTCAGGTTGGAGTCGAATCAATCTGCATCTGAAGTCCTCTCCGTGTCTCTCTCTCTCTCAGAACTACGAGGCCTTCTTCGACGCTAGAGAAGACAACGCTGTGTATGCCTTCCTGGGTCTGACCGCTCCGCCCGGCTCAAAGGTACGGGCTGGCCAGCGCGCTGACATCTTCGACTTGGAGCCGCATCCCTACAGTCGCGTTTCCTGTATCGCCGGCTTATGAGCCTAAATATATATCTACGCTCACAGTGGGATGTCCATGAAGAAAGCACACACATTACATAATACATCTGTTCTAGATAACCTGACATCCAAGCGGGCCTCTCCTCCGTCTCCTCTCACTCTCCTGAACACTGGCGCCTCCTCTGTGCCACAACAGGCGATGCAGGGAGGTGTGCCAGTTACCATAGAAACAGAGGGGTTTTGCTCGGCAGGATATATATTAACCATTATCCTCCATTTTAATACAGTGCTCTCTCTCCCTCTCCCCCTCCCCTCTCCCCCCCCCCGTGTGTCTCTCTGCAGGAGGCCGAGGCTCTAGCGAAGAAAGCCCAGCAGTAGCAGCTTTACACCGTTTTGTACCTGAGACCTAAACCCGGATCTGAACCCAGGCGGACCAAGAACTACAATACAAGCAATACAATCTCACTCGGCTTATTAATATGTCATTTACTTACTTGTTTCCCTATTAATCTGTGTTCTGCTGTGCCTTGTCAGCTGTAGCAAAAGGAGTTGCTAAGGCAGAGCATTATGGGTACAGCTCTGCTACCTCTCTTTAACCTCGACCCGACAAACCTATTGGCCTAACGACATGTCAATCAACCACCACAAAAAGCTTCCCTTTTGAGAACACATAGTCAGACACATCTAAATGTACAATACTTTTGAAAGTTGTTTTTACAGATGCATCATTTGGCCAACAGGACATCATCCATAATACATAATGCATTTCACTGGACGGGTTCTGTTAGAAAACCTCTAATCTGTCAAATCCTGGAAACACGTTTAGCTCCTGCCAATCACGTCATCGCCAAACCTGCAGCACCTTCTGTGAAAGTGATTGACTACAATCCCATTCTGTTTTTATTTACCTCATATGGTCTTAATGCTGTTTTAATAGCAAACCTTTTTCTAAGAGATGATATATGTTTAAAAAAAAGACAATGCATGCCAAAAGTACAAGTCTGCACACACAGAGGGATGTGAAATTGAGTTTTTCTTTTTCTTTTTTATTTCCTGTTTGTGTTTTTCGGGGAGTTGGATCGCTGTTTGGTTTCGCCATCGGCATCCTGTTTCACATTGCGTTGGTAATCCCGGTGTTACACAATCTTCTTTGAAATAAAATAAAAATGAGACTGCCAATAAAACTGCAGGCCTGACTCTCAATGCTCCTCGGCGGTTGCCACAAAGTCAAACATCTGCTTTGTGGCATGTTTTCCTTACAATGAATGACTTTACATATTTGGGGACTTCCTCGTCCTGTGTGTTGTAACATTGTGGTAGAAAAAGCAGGATTTGTCTCATTGAGTTACTGATTTGCACTAGAATGTAATCCAACCGCTTAACCTGCTTCCAATATGTTTTTTGTTCTTGGTATATCTCTTAAATATTTACCAGATTAGGATACTTCTACTCCACCATATTTCAGTCAAATAGTTTTATTTGTGTGGAATCTAAAACACATTTCTGTGACAGCTTTGGCTTTTCAGATCAAGGTTTTACGTAAGACAACACAATAATACACATATATGTGAAGAAAGAATAAAATTGCAAAACAAAAAGCACCCGCACGCTGGAATCACACTAAGTGTATTACTCGGAAAGAGACAAACCAGTAGCTGATCAACCCATTGCTCATGAAGTACATCAGGGCCACGGCCCCAGTGTGTTGCCTGTATCCAGCCACCATCACACTGAGGTTCTGACTCACACATGATGCATTGATGATTAAACCAGTGCTTATTTTTTTTACTTCCCTTCTCTATTGATTGTCTTAGGACCCCTCAGATTCATCTTTTGACCCTTTGAAGGGGGCCCCGCTACCTGCCTGCACATAAAGTAGATCCAACTCAACGTGCTTATGTACACACCTGTGCATCAGGATAAACTTAATAATAATAAATATATATAAAAAAATACTTGTACTACTAGCAATACTGATTAACTTATATTTAAAAAATGATCTTTTATGTAGGACTCGTACTTATAATGTAATATCTTCAGATGTTGTGTTGGTACTTTTAAATAGTTTTTCAGCCTGACTATACATTTCCTGTCCTCCTTTCTCTAAACTGGGATTTTCATTCGCCGTCTAATAAAGGAAGTAACTGGTAGGGGCCAGTTCATAGTTGCAGAAGTGAAACAAGCTAGTAGAGCTTAACGACAACGTTTGCAATGAGACTTGCCATTCGCAGTCAAGAGCGACATTCACAAGGTTGAAAAAGGGACCGAACATTTATCGCTCTGTGCCATGTTGGCCGAAGGTTTCCTCAGAGTGCTGCGTTACAGGAGGGAGGACGGAGCGCTCGTCTCTTCTCCCCAGCTGGCTAGTTTGCAGGCACACGCTGCGGATCAGTTCAGCGTCCTTCTCTCTGACTCCACAGACCTACAGACAGATTCAGCTAACAGAGGTGAGCAGCCTAAGAGAAAAACATTTAGCTTTCCAGACTGGTACAGACAAAAACTTTTACCAAAATGTTCTTCCTGTGCTCTCTAATGCTTGATGCCAAATAGCAAAGCAGTTTACTTTCTGTTTGCAGGTCCGAGCAAGGTGGAACTAGGCCGCGCCCAATGCAGGGGACTAAACGTGGTGCCTGACGGTCCTGTAGGCCTCCTAATCCCTGGCTGTCCCCCGGTCCTCCTCCCGGACCCGGACTTCGTGGTTTGCTTGGACAACTGCAGCCTCCTGGAACAGTATCCCGACGTGCAGGTAGCCACCATTCCCCAGCACGCCCTTTACTCCTCTGCCCCTGAGTCCTGCCGTGTGCCAGAAGGGGCAACCCAACCCGTCTCCTCCATACCAGACCAGGGTTATCTGGCCATGGGGCCCAGTGTGAACATCAGCTTTGATCTGTCCGAGGCAGGTTTGGAGCCCATGTCTAACTCGTTGTTGAATGGGCTGCTGGAGAAGCAGCTGGAGGAGGTGTACATGCAGCACCTGACAGACAACTTGGCTCGATGTGACTCCCACCTGGGGAACAGCCTCCTGCGGGGCCTGGTGCCTCCGCCCCCGCCCGGCGGCACGCAGCCTCGGGGGCCAGACTCACTGGAGGTCAGTCTGGAACAGGGATCAGGAGGGGAGAGCCGCAAGAAGACTAGTTATCAGGGCATCCAGACCTCGGTTTCTTGCTCGTCCAACTTCAGCTCTCCTGTCCTGAGGATTTCAGAGGCTGACAACGTTTATCTGCAATGAGGGATACCAAGCAAATACCCTGCAAAAGTATTTTATGTGACGCTCACCTAAACTTATATTTACACAGTTTCTATGTCTATGTTTGTATACTTGGTGAAATGAAACTTAAAATGTTCCTGCTTTCATGTGCCACCTGCTGTTAGGTTTGAGAACTACAGCGTCAAGTATTTACCTGTGGAACCTTTTAATTCATTGTAGTGATGTAGACATGGGTGTGTGCAGGGCTTTTATTGTTTTGAAGTAAAGAATAACCCAGCGTTAGAGTTATGTTCCTCCTTTGCATTGAAAAACACTTGTGAATAGCGATGTAACCTCATGTAAATGAATCCATCTGGTTTAAATGAAGGAAAATAAGATCTCCAGAAATAAGCAAGCTGTCATTATTTTATTTAGGAAGTAATTCTTCTGTTTTCTATTGCTAACAATTTTGTTTTTCATATTGTGTTTGGCAAAATGTTGCAAGAATTTCTTTGTTTTCAAGTGATGTGTCAATCACTCAATAATGTTTAGAAATACTGTATATTAAATATATTAAATTGGTAAATTAATTGGATTTATCATATCTATTTTACAATTAATTTCATTTGAGGTGCTGACATTTACTTTAAATGTCATTTACCAATTTGAAATAATGATTATTTCTAAGACTTGAAGTAGCTTCTTTTCCACGTTATAACCTTCACAGTTTCCCAGGTCATTTTGTGAAGAAAGCAATAGTAAAAGTACTTTATTACCCTGTGGATACATGATGAATGATGGCCTCCCTGCAGTCCATGATAGATCAACCTCAAGGTATGTTGCATTGTCACAATATAGAGATTAAAAACAACCTCTAACACAGCTTATATAAAAACAATTTATAGTCAACAAACCTAGTCAAATTTAACTTTAAATGACCAACTCCAAACTAACTTGATGATATAAGTTCAATATTGATGCCGTACCTCACTTCCCCTGGTGTGTCTGTATGATTCCTATGGAGAAGTGGAATCATCTCCCAGGTCCAATGTCTCAATTTGATGCACATCACACAAATTGGTTATCTAAGTTTAGCATTAGCAAGCTATTTCTCAGCCAGTATTTTTGAAGAGAGATGTTGGACCACAAAATGTAGTGTAACCCATTGGGAAATCTCTAGAACGATCTCCATTCACTTGACAGGAAACAATCTTTTAGATACAGGGTTGAAGAATTGATTGCGATGGGTAAAAATCAACATACTTGCTTCACTCCCACCGCAGAGACAGTTTTATCACATACAACTTCTCCATGAGTTAAGGACATCATTGCGACTATTAGCAATATGCTTACCCTACTAGCTCCATGACTTAGCACAGGCATCCCGCTTTACCTTCCTAATATTGCCTAGATTTACTGAGTAGTTCATGTTTAAACTGCAATTCCAGTTTGTCATCAATAATAGTCCTAAATAATGTATTGGTCTTTGTTTAACGGGGAAGTTGACGTTTCCTGGATCAACAATGCGATGCAACATTGATCCTATATTCACTAAAACCAATCAAGTACAAGTGTTAGAATAGATTAGAAGTTCCCATTAAAGTGCAATGTTCTGATCCTTTTGTTTGTACTTTAAACTTAATTCTGTGTTCGGTTATTCTGGTTTCAGATTATTTTAACCAACCTTTTCATATCCATTGGTCCAGTGTGCATGGATCCTCACAGGTGAGTTACTGAGGGTTTATTTTTGTGTTTCACTGCCCACTCAAACATTACATTGAATTCTCAAGCTTCCTTCTTCTTTGATGTCCAATGTCTGTATTGTGTGTTTGCTGTAATTTTACCTAACATTACAGATAAAAAAATCATTTAACATATGGAAAATATGTTTTTAGTCAATTTGTTAGGATATAGTAGCCTTTTGTACTATGGCAGAAAGACAGCAAAGCAGAATAAAACACAGGCAACCCGTTTTTAAGCGCATGTTTTTACTTGGTGAGGAGATTCAGTGAAGAAGATGGTATAGAAAAAGTATTTTCGTCTATTGGCGCCATAACAATAAGCACATGATGTACAGAACTTTATTTCACATCAGACCACTTGTTATAGTGGAGGAATCGCAAGGATTACAAACTCTCGCTTTGTGGTAAATTATACAACATTATTCTAAAACAACATTTAAGTCCTGAAATGTTCTGAAAAATGTTATCTTTTTCAACCATGAATGAACATTTGATGCTGTTAAGATTATGTTTGTTTTAAATATTTTTATGCTTTTCTTGCAATCTTTGCTCCTTGAGGCTTTAAAATCATTATCATTCTGATTCTGATTGGGATTGATTATGTTTCATTAAAAGCCAACGAAAGGACACCAACTAAACAGGCCGTACACATATGATACATGCCATGAATCCCACGATAATTTTCAAGGCGCGAATTGTATAATTGCTTATTTTTATTATTCTGTTAGCAAAGTAGGAACATTCGGAATCGCAGATTAGTGAATGAGGACCATTGAAAAGGGCACCGATCAGAGCTGTTGAGACCGGATACATACAGTATATCTGCATCTAACCTCCATCCTGAACAAAAACCACATAATCAAGACCTTACAATAAGTTTTTTACGTTATTATTGTTATATTACAAATCATGCTGCCGTTTGGTGTTCAGTAGTTTTATGACAAGAAAGACTTGTTGATGCCTCTATCTTCTAGTTAGGAGGAAGAAAAACGCAGCTGGGTGAAGAAGTCCATCCAGCAGGTTCTTCCACACGAGTCCATCATGAAGTGGCTCACTTACCCAGCGACATCTGTTGTTGCCTTCCAATGACTCAAGGCTGCTGAACCTCTGGACTGAACTGAAGTACAGAGATGTAAGCGGCACTGAAACACAAGGAAGACAAATGCTATAGAAGCAGCCTTTCCGCCTCCTCACAGTAAAGAAGCCCAAGAAAAGGAGGAGGAAGAGTGGGAAGACGCTTTCTAAGGCAAGTCAGTCAGTAAGTGTGTGTGTTACTTACAGGGGATTTCATTAGTGTGCTGAACAACGTTAATGTTATTCACAGCAATCATCGACGACATTGTTTCATGTCAGTGAATTAAACATCTCTCAATGGTTAGCACCGTGGAACTGACGCGTTCTCTGTGTGCCGGCCAGGGGCCCGTAACAGGGGTCTCCCTGTTGCTCTCTGGGGTTTCTTTCCTTTGTGGGGTTTTTACACATCTAAAACTAGGCTCCAGGGAAAACACAGGGCGTGTGTGTGTGTGTGTGTGTGTGTGTGTGTGTGCGCGCGCGCGTGTGTGTGTGTGTGTTGGATGAGGCCTGTTCTGCTGGTTGGATACCATTGCCAGCTCAGGGATTCCTGTGCATATTAGTGGCTCCATGAGTTGTATAGCTTTTTGTTTTGTGTGTGTACGCTTCTGTCTGTGTTGTTCCTCCCCCCAACCTCCATAACCCCCTTTCCCATTCTCTCCCTATGTCCCTCTCTCTCTTTTTGTCCCAGCATGGCAGCAGGATGACCGCCCAGTGGACTCTCTCTCTGCTGCTCTCTGCCTGCCTGTTTCGGGCCTCGTGTTCGGCCCCGGCGATACCGCGGCCGCCCCGCAGCCTGCACCCCGTGCGGGGCTTCAACAACAGCGGTGGCAGCCTGTCCGTGGATCTGCCCATGGCTCTCAGGGTGTTCAGCGTGGACTATCACCACGTGCAGGCTCCCTTTGAGATCGTGCTGTGGATCATGCTGGCCTCACTGGCCAAGCTGGGTGAGCGTCAGTTCAGCCCTACTGCTCATTTATCAGAAGCCGGATGAGGCGCTATAACCTGAGGTTAGATGTTGTTTGAGGGATTTAATCTTAACTGAAGCTGCTTCAGAGTTTTATGTGAGAAGGCATCTTGTAAGGGCGTCACGGTGGTGAGGTGGTTATCACTGTCGCCTCACAGCAAGAAGGTCCTGGGTTCGACTCCGCCCAGTGGCGTTTCTGTGTGGAGTCTGCATGTTCTCCCCGTGTCTGCGTGGGTTCTCTCCGGGTACTTCGGCTTCCTCCCACAGTCCAAAGACATGCTCTGGGGATCAGGTTAATTGGGGACTTTAAATTGGCCGTAGATGTGTGAGTGTGAATGGTTGTGTATCTCTGTGTAGCCCTGCGATTGGCTGGGGACCAATCCAGGATGTACCCTGTCTCCCACCCAAAGTTGGCTGGGATGGACTCCAGCCCCCCCGCGACCCTGTGTGCACGATAAGCGGTTTGACGATGGATGGATGGATGGCATCTTGTACAAAAATACAATAGTTTTTAATGTTGGTTGTGCCACACCGTTTGGATTATGAAGTAATGAACCCAAGCACTTAAACCTCTATTTCACCTGTCCTGCTCTCAGATAAGCCTTCTTGCTTATAGGATTTCATTTACTGTCAGTTTGGCTGCTGTATATCTGCCAATGATGCACGGTTGTAGTACGCATTTAAGGTGTTTTCATTACTGGAGCCCGGCTGCCACGATTGAAATTGTCCTGCCAAAGTTTCGTAAGCAAAAAAAAATATCATTACACTTCTCAAAGGATGGGTGAGGTGCATTTACTCCGCCTACGGTGAAAGATGGTTTCTTCTGACCTCCAGGTTTCCACTGGTCAGGTCGACTCCCAGCAGTGGTGCCAGAGAGCTGTCTCCTCATCATGGTGGGGCTCTTGGTCGGAGGGGTGATCTACGGCGTCCGCCACTCCGCACCCCCAACTCTCAGCGCCGATGCTTTCTTCCTCTTTCTGCTCCCGCCCATCGTCCTGGACGCAGGCTACTTCCTGCCAGGGAGGCTGTTCTTTGAGAACCTCGGCACCATCCTCTGGTTGGTTCCCTCTCGGTGTAGTGGATCTGTTTCCACAATGTGTAGACGGCACTTTTTCACGTATTATTTGTGTTTCAGAAACCGGGCCGACATATTTCCCATCTAAATATTAAAGCACCCATGACTCGAGCAGAGAAAAATATCATTTAAAGTAGAGTAAGATATTCCCGAGGACTAATAATGAAGACTGGTTGTAACTTGGTGGTCATAGTGTCACTTCTGGATCAAAACACTAAAAAGATTTGTTTTATTTATTTTTTTAAAAGATACTTCACTGTATACATCAAGTTGAAGTTTGGTATTTGGCACTGGTGTGTAAGACACACACACACACACACACACACACACACACACACACACACACACACACAATACAACAATATTAAACCAACATAACTGATAAAGTCTGACAGCCCGAAAGCCCTGACACACATATTTGATTTTAAAGCTTTAAATGAGGAGCCCCTGCGACTCTAATAGGAGAGAACTTAAAGGAACAAAAAGCAACAGCCTAGTTCTAAGGAGAATTTTTTAATCTCAATGGGGGATAAATAAAGATCAAATGAAGAGCATTGCGAGCCTTTTAACGTAAAAATGAATCAATAACTCTTTTTTTTACAGTTTTCCTTTTTCAGGATGACAATCACTGGCGGAAGGTCACATCAGCCTCACTACTGTAAACTTCATCTACAACTCGTTGGCCGGTTATTGTGATCTCTGCAGTGTATGGTGCCCCTGCTTTATTTAGTAAGAGAAGCATCGCTCTGTATCACCACTTTACAACCGAAGGTGGACTGGCCGTTTGTGCAGTCGCAACCAACAGAGCGGATCGTCTGGTTCGCTCTTCACCTCCCTGATCCTCGTTGTTTCTCTGACTTTTTTCCCGCGGCGCTGCTGATTGTGCACCCGTCTCCAGGTACGCGGTGGTGGGAACCCTGTGGAACGTGTTGGGCATCGGCCTGTCTCTGTACAGCCTGTGTTTGCTGGCCCCCGGCTCCCTGGGAGACATCTCCCTGCTCCACTGCCTGCTCTTCGGCTCTCTGATCGCTGCCGTCGACCCTGTGGCCGTGCTCTCCGTCTTCCAAGAGATGCACGTGAACGAACAGCTCCGCATCTTGGTGTTCGGAGAGTCGCTGCTCAACGACGCCGTCACTGTGGTGAGAGGCGGGAGGTGGTCTCGGAAAGATAACAAAGGGAATGCCCTTTTCTGGCCATGATGCACTTCTCTCTCTCCTCCCAGGTGCTCTACAAGCTGTTTGAGTCTTTCCTCCGCATGCCGTCAGTGTCGGGGCTGGATGTGTTGCTGGGAGGCTGCAGGGTGTTGGTGGTGGGCATGGGGGGCCTGTTTGTGGGCCTCTTCTTCGGCCTGATAGCGGCCCTCACCTCAAGGTTCACCTCCGGCGCACAGGTCATTGCCCCGCTCTTTGTGTTCCTTTACTCCTACTTGTCCTACCTGACCTCAGAGATGCTTCACCTCTCCGGCATTATGGCGTAAGTGCCGTCGGGCGCCAGCTTGCACTTGAGAACCTCATTTTTTGTAAACGTTTAGCTTGGTGAAATCTTAATTCCGTCTGGTATTTTTTGGGCCTCTTCTGTGCAGCATTGTTACTTGCGCTGTGACGATGAAGCAGTACGTGGAGGCCAACGTGTCGGAGCGCAGCAACACCAGCATCCAGTACTTCCTAAAGATGTGGAGCAGCGTGAGTGAAACCCTCATCTTCATCTTCCTGGGCGTGTCCACGATACAGGACGTGCACATGTGGAGCTGGCCCTTCGTCTGCTCCACGCTGCTGCTCTGCCTCGTCTGGAGGGCCACAGGTACAGATAGGACACGTTCCTCCACTTTAGTGCCAATGATGCTTACGACCAGGAGTTTGAATATAAGTTATCAAGGTGGAGGAATCAACAGGAGTCATTTCCCCTGAAGGTGTTCTCCTGCTGACCGCCGTGGTGAACAAGCTGCGGAGGAACACCGTGACCTTCCGAGACCAGTTCATCATCGCCTACGGAGGCCTGAGAGGGGCCATCTGCTTTTCCCTCGTCTTCCTGATCGACGACTTCCCAAAGAAAAGACTCTTCATCACCACCACCATCGTGGTCATCCTCTTCACTGTCTTTGTGCAGGTGGGGAGAAAAACGTCTCTCGTGAATTTTAATAAGACAAAGATAAAGGTTTGTTTTTTGTTTGCTGAGTAGATTATCGTCTGGTTTCCAGGGGATGACTATTAAGCCTCTTGTAGAGCTGCTCGATGTGAAGAAGGAGAAGGGAGCTTTGCCTTCTGTGAGCGAGGAGATCCACAGCAGGGTGAGAAATGGCAGCCTGCATTCTGCCCCGTGAGAAATACAGCACCGTGTATGCAACACACATCTAAATATTCATTCAGGTAACACATTATTATACAAATTAACGTATTTTAAAGATTGAATGGATTCTTTATTTGCATGACATTACTTTGGTACAAAAAGGTTTTAACTAACCAACAGTGTTGTCATGTAAAAATGGGCACTATTTGGCTTTAGATTCTTCACTGTTGAAGTTTTTTTTTAATGTTTTAAACATGCTGTCACACAACAAATGAGCAAAGCAAATTATCTTCTAAAAAGAAATATTCATTTGGTGTTGAGCTTCTGTTTTGTACCTTCAAATGTATCTTCTTCAAATACTGTTCTTGTTTCACTTGGATACTTGCACAGTATCTAATTGAAAAGGGATAATATTCCTGTGCGCAACGATGCTCCGGTGACGGGGTTTAGTTGTCAAAAGCCTCTTTGTGTTTGAACACCGAGCTCTTCTGCTTCTCCCCTTTCATCTGTGAAAATGAAACGGATGAATCACTTTCTACGCTGAAACTGCTTTCTAATGATGTTTGTGGACGTCATGTGTCTCTCTTAGCTCATTGATCACCTGCTGGCAGGAATAGAGGATGTGGTCGGCTACTGGGGGCAGCACTACTGGAAAGACAGGTCCGTTTTCACTCACTTTGTGTGTGTGTGTGTGTGTGTGTGTGTGTGTGTGCACCTGGAATTTTAGCATTCCCTCAAAAATAAGGCCTTAAATGACCTCTAGGCGGCAGCAATGAACGCTCTTTATTTTGTGTGCGTGTCTGTGAGGTTTGATCAATTCAACGTGAAGTATCTTCGGCGTATCCTGATCCGCGAGGACCACCAGGCTTGCTCCAGCATCCTCAGAGTTTACCAGGAGCTGGAGAGACAGGAGCAGAGGGGAGACGAGGACGTCCCACCACCGTGAGAACACACGTTTTCCCTTTGTACTAGGGCTCAGGCATCACCTGCACTGCACTGAAGGAGCCCAAAGGGTCCTAAAATTCTCAATTCAAAAAGAAATTGTATTAGTATTATGGTTGCTTGTTCTAATTAAAATCCTTATAGAATATACACATTTGGAAATACCATTGAAAACGGAATATATATATCAGCTTTTGGCCAAACGGATGCCTCCCTTTTTAGAGTGGTCCCTCGCTCCCTCGGCCGTCCCCTCCTACCGCAGGAGATGGACAGCATCAGGTGTATTCTCTCCACAAACCTACAAAACTTCAGCAACAAGGTAAATTCCCAGCATTAGTGTTCTGATAAAAGGGACCGCTGAGTGTGCACTGCGTACTCTTCACCTGTTGTTTGGGTTCATGCGTGAGTTGTGACTCCAGCAGACAGCAGCTTACAGCAGACACACTTTGCACCAGGACGCCGGCACAAGGAAGCCGCTTCACAGGCACCAGAGCCTGGAAGAGAGAAGCACAATTAATACACAGGTAGGTCTGTTTTCCTCAAAAATGTCAACTAAACATTAAAACATTTTTGTCTCAGGTACTTGAAACACGTGTATTGTTTTATCCTCAAAAATGTCACATAAAAATATTTGAAATCGTCAGTTGTCATTTCATTTCAGTGCTCTTGCTGATTACTTCATAAGAGGGTGATATTTATTCCAGACAAAATTGAGAAATACGTGTCAGCAATAGAAAATTGTCCGAAATGATAAAGAAGTTCACTTTATTGAATTAAATGTACTTCAAATGACTTGAATTAACAACTAGGATGTACTTCCACTGTGCCAGGGGGAGGACGGAGAGTTCCACGACTCCCGCAGAGTGAGATCAGGACTCAGCAGGTCTCACACAGGTAAGACAAAGACATAAATCTACAAAAAAAACACATACAGTTTTGTACCTCTCTGACCTTTGACCCTGCCAACCACGCGGGGACAATTCTTTGAGCTCACTGCAGCCTCTCTCCTCTCGGCAGTGTGCTCCGTGAGCCCGAGGCGCCTCCTCCTGGACTCGTCGGCCCCAGCAGCTTCACCCCAGATCGCCGACCCCAGAACGGCAAAGAAAAAACTGGCCTTTGTTCTGGAGTGCGAGAAGCAGCAGTGAAGACAGACCGCGAGAAGTAGCAGAAATGCAAACCAGTGAATACAGTCATTATGAAAGTGCCTCATGCACATTCAGCCAAACCGGGCTGTTTCTGCAATTTCACGGATATCTTTTTAATTAAATTAAAGCTTTTAAATGTCTAAAGAGAATTCACCCTCTGGTTTCACAATTTTGAGTGTTTGTCATCTCCCTGTTCCACCTCTGGAGGGTGGTTTTGCATCTTCGGCCTAATTCGTTTTCAATGTGGCGCTCAAAGTGTGACACCCACGTCACCAAATACCTCACAGTCATAAATAGTGATACTCACTGTCCACATTACGAGCACACACACACATACCAATCCCGCCTCACCATGTTTCCCTCGTCAATGCACAGCACACCCACCGGTAATTTGATGAGGACAGGCTTACTCCTTCCTAAAATAACTCCTCTCCCCACCGCCTGACCTCCTCCGTCACCGGAGCTTCTTTTCCCCACCGCTCCCAGGATGCCAGGGAGTGGCCCGGGGAGCCCCAGCGCTTTCCCTCGGTCGGTGGCAGGTCAGAGCGGACGCCAGTGAGCAGCAGTAAGTGACCTGAAGCAGACCGGAAGGCTGAAGGCGGTTTCAGGCTGCAGTTATGAGGGTGGGAGCTGCGACCTTGGCTGCGGGGTTACTTGCGCTTGTGGGAACTCTGTGCTTCTTCCTCGCCTTCGGTACGGACTACTGGCTGGTGGCCAGTGACAACTGTGGACCGCATACGTTGCCGACACAAACAAAGCCGATTGAAGATGGGACTGAGGTAGGACGGATGCCGGTGTGCGCATACTGTGTATTCACTAACACAAAGGCATGCAGAGCTGACTGCTGTCAGAACGCTCAGTGACGTCCAACTAAAGAAATGCAAATAATAATAGTCACACTAGTCGGACCAATGCGGAATCTGTCCAGATGCTGTGTACAACGCGATGTGCACGCAATGCCATGATGGGGTATTTACAAACTCTTTTTTTTTAATTTGGAAGACTGGTAGAGCAACAGATGCTTCCAATAGCATTCATTTATCTATGTGTGGTAAACACCCATCTATTTCAAGCATTAGGTACATTAGCATGCTAACATTCACTGGGTTAAAGGTATTTATTAATTAAGTGCTTTCCCATGGTACCACTTACTAATTAGCACCAACATAAGTACAGCTTTTTTTTGATGACATCATCTGAGTTATTTATTATGTCCCGGTTGACAATGATGGTCCACGTTTGTAGGTGGCCTTTTAATTTCCCAGTTTATTCTTTCATCCCAAATTGTGAGAAAGTTCACAAACGGCAAGGCGAGGGTTATATTTATCAAAAGCCAATCCCCTGGTGACCTCCTCCCCAACGCCACGGCACCACAGACTGTTATTTCCAATATAAGAGGATGATTAAAGTTGCTGCGTGTTTAGGCCGCGCCATCAATCATGTTTCTGACAAGCAAATGGAGAGCATCGCTCATGCGTGTTCCCTTATAAAAACCTCACGGACGAGCAGAGGGTAATCAGATCCACGTTTGATGCCTTCTCTCTCTCTCTCTCTCTCTCCCTCCCAGTCAGTGGAAGCTTCTCCTCCATCTCTCACTCTGCACCACGAGGGCTTCTTGTGGCGATGTGGGTTTCAGGTGGAGCCTACAGTGCACGCCACGCTGGCCACTCTCTTCAGTATGTATACGGCAAAGGGTTTTTGTTGGCGTCCGTCCATTCCCGTTGCACATGCCTCACACTCAGCAGGGTGGTCCCCCTGTCACGCTAAAGACAGCCTGAAAGGAAAGTGTGTACAATTTGGATATTGGACAGTAAATATGGAGAAAACAAAGAATGCTTTGCATTTTGTATCGTTTCGTAGTGTTTTGGGGGGCTTTTCACTTTTTTTGCTTTCTTGTCAGACCTAAAATGTTTTTCTCTTTGCATTTTCCTTTTTCTTTGCATAGCAAACCAGCCAGAATCCAAGGTGTGCATCCACGGTTATCTCTTCCCACTCCCTGTTGCAATGGGACAGGTGCCTGATCCAAGTTATGACGCTACAGCAGGTGACGCACTCTCTCACATCTTTACACTCCGGTCACAAACTAAAGGAAAGTGACGTCGTCCATGCCTCCGTATATGAGGCAGACAAGGGCTCACTTAATGACCTGGATGAGTATGAAAGAGATGCTATGGACTCCCCAGTAACAACATCTCAATCAAGCTGATTACAAGTTTTGGATTAACTTACAATTACATTTTATGCCACTCTCAAAAAGAACATTAAACAAGATCACGTCTTTTAGAAAAAATGGTTTCATCCCTCTGTTTTGGCGAGAGACTTGGAGCTACTCAGGAGGTGTTAGGCCACCTCCATAGGTATTTTACAAACTTGCATTTATTTATAGTACGTTTGTCACAAACAAACATACTTAGTTTACTTTTGGCTGTTTGAAGTTTGTTTATTTATAGATTCAAAGAAGATAAATGCCCGTTATAATTAGATGGGGAGCCCAATGCACAGTACTGTGACTCTGATGGCGGCCTGTGGGTGTTGCTCGCAGTGTTTCGGGGTTTCTGGACCGTGCTGATAATCCTCGGCCTGGTGGCAGCTCTGACTGGAAGCTTCCTCCTGGTCTGCGGCGTCCCCTTCGCCAGCCACAAACTCTACACGCTGGGCGGGGCTTTCCTCATCGCTGCAGGTAAAACGTAGTCTGCCTACACGTGTTGGTGCGCATAACAGTGGTATTCATTTGCAGTGTGAAATGGGATCTCGGAGAGGAGGGGGTGCAATTGCCAAGCGCACGGACAAAAACACATGTGGCCGCTGTCAGCTGTTCGTGCCCGTCACACGCCAAACGCAGCAGATGCCACTGTCGCTGTAACAGCGGCGGGTTTTAAAACACTGCTGCCGTGGCAACTGCGCGGACGAGTTGGAGCTGCATTCCGGTGGTGTTACTCGGCAGCAGGCATTAAACCCTGATGCTCCTCATGTCCCCCCCAGCCTGCTCGTTCCTGGTCACGCTGCTGCTCTACGTGCTGTGGATGGAGGCCGTGGACGTGGAGCGCTACGTCCTGCAGGAGCGGGCAAAGGAGTGTCCTCACGCGCAGGTCTCCGTGCTCTACGGCCTGTCGTTCGTGGTGGCGGCTGCCGGCGTGCCTCTGGAGCTCGTCTCCGGGATGCTCTTCATGCTGGTGGGGCGAGCGCTGCGTGCCGCCAACTGAGCCATCTGGCTTGTAGAGCAAGAGAGGACTGACCTTTGTTTTAATGTGCAGCACATGGGACACAGCAGCACACCTGTGGCATGTAAATACTGGCGGGACACAATCAAGCAGCATGTAGTCACAAGACTGATGTTTAATCTGGTTTTGCTTTATTTCTGTAAGAATCTCAAATTGCCTTTGAATAATATTATCATAATAAGTTTGCGTGTTGCATTGAAGACCAATTTAAAACGTGCCAACATGCCATTCAACAGATTTAGCTTGTTTGTTGTTTTGGGGGGGGGGGGGTTAATGCTAGAAAGTCCACAAAGCGCAAGGTGAGAGTGAGTGAACCAGCTGGGTCCCCTGTCCCCCTGTCCTGATGTTGGCACATAATCAAAGTAGGCTGCCGCTCAGTGAGGTGGGAGGGAGGAATGGCTGGACGGGCTGAAGAAACGGTGTGTTTCGATGGGGATGGAGGGGCAGAGGGCCGCACACATTGTGGGGGGTGTTACAGAGAGATAATCGGTGCTTGAAGGGGGGCACAAGGGGGCTTTGAGAAGTGAACAGCTGTTTGTGTGTTTTGGTTGGTGTACAACGGGGGCCGGCCACCTGCCTCCTTCGCCCCAATCCCATTTCACTCCCTCATTGAGACTATGACCCTCGCTCTGCCTCGTACCGTCCTTTTCTTCTGTCCTTTTCTTGTGTACATGTTCACAAAAAACGGAGATGATAATCCATTAACACGGACAAAATGGGGCATGTGTGCTTTAAAGGCCTCAGTGAAATGTATCCAACCTGTTTTGAGATGGCCTCACACTGCAATGCTGTAACATAGCGCCCCCAAAATACTAAAGGGATCTGTGTCAGAGGGCACCATTTTGGTACATTGTAGTCTATTACATGATTGTTTGTTTTACCTCTGTAATGATCATGCCTGATCACAGATATATAATATATAGAACACCCTTGATTTAGAGCAGTTTTAATAAAGACATAAGGTACCAGAGGCTGTACTTTATTGTCCAATAACGTACAGCCTCTGTTCGGGGGTTGTTAGGCCCGATGCGCAGAGAACTCATCTTTTAAAATGCGCAACTGATACTTGAGTTTTAACCCCATTTTCGGAAGAAGCCTAAAAAAAAAGCCATTACAAGACATTTACAGAAACATGAATCTCAATCTGAAGAACCTGAGGTTGAATTTAAAAGGGAGAGGGATTTTTTTTTACTATATCTAAAAACAGTAGGAGGGAAATGAAAAGTGGTTTGTGGTTCATTTAAATGACATTTAAAATATCAACAGCAAAACGTCTTCCAAACCGAACAACCTTCATTTAAAGGAATAAAGTATAGCACATGATTTTTTTCCCATCTGTTGACAGTAACATCTGGATTTCTTTAAACAGAACATTGTTTATGGATCAGATCCCATCACTGCTTTTAATTGTGCTCAAAAGAGTCTCAAAACCTCTGCACACTCAATGGCTACATACAGCGAAAAGAAAAAACAAGTTTGTGTGATTGTCATCAATCTGGTCAAAAAGTATAAAGGATTAGGATCATTTTTCAGAAAAAAAAGTGCAGTCAAGGTTGAACCTCTTTGAGGATATAAAAGTGTTGGAATAGAAGCACTGAAAGGAGTTGCTGTTTAATTATCAACACTGAAAGCACTGGAGGCAGGAACTGCAGGTGTTGAATCCTTTTTGTCTTTATTTTGAAAGTGCTCAAAATAAAACTACTTGACAGCAGCTACACATCAGTCAACGTTCGCTGGTAAATGAGAAGCCAGATGTGTACTTGTCACTGACATTCCCACTAACTCACAAGCCTAGTTTGGGTCCATCCCATCCACCGCCTGCACGACTCTCCTCGATGCCTCCCTTCGCCAAGGTCAACGAGGCCGCTTCTTCAATGGAGATGGGAACATCGAACATCAGAAAGACACAACACAGCCACCAAGAAAAACAAAGTGAGCAAAAGAAGACATGAACCACAAGATAAAGAGACACAAAATGACTACAGAGAGATGCAAACAGACAAAATGAGACTCACTCTAACTACAAATAAACACAAATACCAGCAAGTAGACACAAGATTACTACAAAGAGACATAAAACCACAACAAAGAGACCCAAAACACGACATCAATAATCTGAAAACATGTCTTGTGTATGTTGCTCCCTGCAGGTCCGCTTGCAGGGGCCCATTGTCTCATAGTGCGCCCATGGCCCCTGATACCAGTCAGGTACGAAGGTCCCGGGTCAAGGCCCCACCCGGTTCCAAGACACACGCCTTTTTCTCAGTTTGCTGAGTCAAGCCAACAAACCCCCAAATATATGATAAATACAAAGTGTGCTTTTGTCAGACATTCAGCTGGTTGGTCCACTTGAATACCCACAAACAGCCAGCAGAGGGCACTGCAGCTCTCCTCTTCAGAAGAAAGACGTCTCCAATGCATGCAGGGACAGACGCTAAACCATGTGAGGGAGCAGTGAGTGTAACAAGGAAAGGAACGTGGCGGAAAGGAAAGGAAAGGAAGCGATCACTGAGCCGAGTATTGAGCTAGAACCCCGGCTTGTTCACTGACTAATCACAGTTAATTAACTCTTATGTCTCCTCCCCTGTCATCCACAACAATGGAAACACACTATCACTTCATTTAAGGAAGGAATAATCTTGCACTTGAAGTGTCAGCAATTACGGACGTTATAATATTATGCATACGGCATAGTGAGCGTCACATGAATAAAGACATGACACCATAATAAAGTAATAAATGGCTTGCAAATTAACCCCAACAGACCCGAAGAACCCAAAGAGCATACGTCTTGTTGATTAGGGGTAATGAGTGCGTGTCGCACGCACGCGTGGACGAGTAATGTGCGGATCTGTATTTCCAGGCATGCCACCATTATTCGCTGCTAATTTCTAGTATTTGCTAAAGGTCCCGTGTATGCGAAGTGTCAGACGGCGAGCAGCAGGATGTGGTCTCGCACTAGGCGGGGCAAATTAACCCGAGGTGAACCCCCTCCCCCCGCGCCCCCCCCCCCCCCCCCCCCGCCCTCCGTGTCCTCCGGAGCACCTGGGCTGAAAACTGGCGGACTCTAATCCAGTCAAAGGGGGGGGTGGGGGGGTACACTTGGTGAGAGCTCTTTCCTTTCTTTCTCTAACCCCTCACTACTGGTGAGCCTATTACCTGCTCTGTGTGTCTGTGTGAGCCCCAAGCATGGCGTGTGTGTGTGTGTGTGTGTGTGTGTGTGTGTGTGTGTGTGTTTGAGACGGCCAGACGGACACAGCTTCTCTCAGATAAAGGTTTTTTCTCCTGTCAAAAAAATGACTGATAATAAGAGCTGATATGAGAGAATAGCGAGCCTTATGGCATGCCTCTTGCTTTTTTTAATGTCTTTTGTACTCACTCCAAATCCCCAGGAACGCCCCCCCCCTCCCCTCTCCGCCACACACACACACACACACACACACACACACACACACACACACACACACACTCCTAATCTGTATTGGGGGTAGTTGTGGCAGGTGGGGGAATAAAGACGAGTTTCTCTGTGTTTCTTTTGGGGTTTTTGAATAAATAACTAGTGTGCTCTTATTAGAGACAGCCGTCCCTTCTAACTCCCCTGCCCCCCATAACACCCACACACACACACGCACAAAGATTACATGTCACACGTACACACTCTTCATGCAGACAGATTATGTCTCAGACAGTCAGAGCTCCTGCCTTCAATTAACCTCACAAAGACAGGATCACTTACACACACATCTGATGATAGCAGCAGGGAACCAGTAAGGAGGTTGTGTGTGTGTGTGTGTGTACGTGTGTGTGTCGACGGTTGTACACAACATGCAGGTTCTTCTAGGTTTGATACAATAACACGTTTATTAATTAACTAAATGAACAGGAGTTGGGGCAGTAGACATAACTTAAAAACGACGTTGAGCGACCTCGTAGCTCCCGAGACGACGGTTCGATCACATGTTATAGACGATGTCCCTCGTACCTCTATGTGGACAGTATCTAATAAAGTCGGATGTTTCAGCCCCACGTTTGTAGTGTTCACAGTCATTGCAGAGATACAGGCTGCAGTTCACGCTCTCCCTCACACAGAGGTTACAGACAATAGGCTGTCAAAAGCGACAGACGCGTAGCACCCGTTCTCTGGTAAACACTGTCAGCACCCACGCCCTGGTTTGCATTGTTAATGTTGTCGGCACCGTTAGCTGACGAGAAGATTTGCATAGAATGATGGAGCCGGTTAACTCCCCTTAAATGGATTTATTTGGTCTGTTTATGTATGTTTATAACACGTGCATGAAATGTATATCTCGTTGAAACAACTGGTTCTCCTGTTGAAGATGATATGAGGTGATGGGGAAGTGACGCTCAAAATGGTGAGGAAAGACTCTTCTCACAGTTTACAGATAAGCCCCATCAAAGTGGGTTCCCAGAAAAGAGATTTCGGAACTGCTGTGTTACGCTCACAGTGACGTTATGTAAAACCAGCCCTGTGTCAGCTCACTCAGGGTCAGAGTACAGGAAGTGAACACCCCTTCCCCCAAAAGCACAGAACCCATTTGTCTGTGCATTTGCTTTTTGGGGGTCAGAGGTCAGCGGCTGTGGCAAATCGGCCTCCAGTATATACAGCAGCGCGATCGATACATAGGCTGCCGGTTTCTTACTTCGTATTCATTCACCTGCTGCCGATCTAGAGGACTAGAAAAGAGGACTAGTGGAGGAATGCAAAGCTGTTGTTGTCAAGTCTGTGTGTTTGCGGCACACGCATACAAACACCTGGTGAAGACACACACACACTCGCAGATCCCTGTTTAGATGCACTGCGTGCTGCTTGCAGCTGACTGGCAAACAAACACAATCCTGTGCAGATACAGTACAATCCATTTGAGGTGAAATAAAAACAAAGAGCTTAGCAGGGAGACAGGCGAGGAGTGCGGACAGACGGAACAGAGGAGACGCTTTCGGCTCGTGCGTCAACCATTGCTTTCCTCATTCTCTCATGTATGTCTTTATTTTCCTTTAACATCCCCCTACTCACACACACACACACACCCTCTTAAACTTCTTTCATTTATGTGGAAGGAGAGGAAGAGGAGAAAGAGGAGAGAGGAGGGGGTTGCGATTAGTTTCAGGGTCCCAGCTTACTTGATTGGCAGCTGGCAGCATATGGAGCTGTAAGGAAGGTTTGCCCACGCTCACTTCTGAGGAAACAAATATTTGCCTGAAGGGGCAAGAGACAGAGCGAGAGAGAGAGAGAGAGAGAGAGCGAGTGAGAAAAAAATATTAATTAGTTTGCAGACGCACCGAGAGATAAAAGTCGGCAAGACGTACCCATCAAAAGGCTGCAGAGTTAGCTGCAAAATGGAAATTTTCCCCAAGTTGACAGATCCAGTAGGCCGCTGGCAGGGCCGAGGGGGAAGAACGCGTGCGCGCCGGGGAAAGCACTGAGGTGCACAACACAACAGCCCCAATGTGGATCCTACATTAACATCTGTGCATACGTTAACATATTCTGAGTGGAATTAACATTTAGGCTGGCATCTTCGCCGCTCGAGAAACATCTCTTGAGCTAGCCCCTCCAATTATTCCTTAATTATAGTCTCCACATCCCACCGTAGCTGTGTGTGGAGATAAAGATCCACACGGATGAAGAACATCAGACGCACTCAAGGTAAACGCACAGATGCCAGTTAAGACGCGTCGGCTGTCACCGCGCGATGCCAAACCAACATGAAAGCATGGTCTTCTGAGAAGGTATCGTGAATTTAGATGTTATATTTGCTTTTCTCACACAAACGCCTATGCTCTTTTGCTCTCTTATTATCAGTTAGTTTTATGGGCTGGCTTTATAAAAACGCAGTAATAATGTAATTTAGGGAACTTTAGGGAAATATGTATTATCTTTTCACAAGTACAAAGTTGATATTGAGCAACATCAACAGACAGATTTCCCAACAATCATTTTGCATGTCTGTATTTGCAGAAAATAAATACATATCATTTATGTTGAATAAACATTAGTATTACGTTGCTACTGTTTATTTTGCCCCATTTAAAACGTAGCACCTATTGCGCTTTGCGATCTGCCATTTGCACGCACATGCTTGAACTTCAGTAGAACGCTGTTGTCTGTATTTAGGCCTCTGCGCTGAAGTGATGTGGTCTTCAAGATGGAGTTATTCCTCAAGATATAGCTCAGTCGTGGAATTATTTTCCAATTTGCACAATTTTGTCGCCTATTACGTTTCATTTTGAGCAACTGAATTCACTGATCAGGACCCTACAGCCCTCCTGGAAAACACATACATGAAAAAGCAGATGAAAGAGACTGTCTTT